GTGGGCCTCTCCTGCATTGCCACTAATGTTATCAAAGTTTGAAAACAGATAAAACCGTAGAGTATCCTGCACAATGAAAGTTACAATTTTGTATTTCCTAAAGGTGGAAATAATATCACACTTCCTTACAATAGTCAGTTGTTTAGAATAAAGACACAAGTACCAGCCACAGTTGATGAGAGGGTGTTACACAAGGGCACGATACCAGGAGGCAGGTCTCGTAGGGAAACAACTTGCCATCTGCCCACCTGTTACCCAATAAACCATGAGCTCCCTGAGTGCACCTCATCTCCTTGGTAGCCTTTGAAAACCTGAGGAAGTAAAAATAGTTCCAGGAAACAACAGACAGACACCTTTCCAATTACAAAGGGAAGATGGATTCTGAAAAGTGTTTGCTATAAAGCATGATGTCAAATCTATAAATATTTCAGGATAATGCTTAATGCAACTTTTATGAGATGAGGGGCAGGGAGCATGAGGCCATGCTTTGAATTTGCTAAGAATGAAATCAGCCCATTCTCTTTCACTGACACATTTCCTAGACTGCCAAATTAGGGAAGTGAGAGAGAAATGATGTCTCTTACTTTAGCAAACCATTTAGTACAAAATACAGGTTAATATTGCAAACGGGCCGGGCGCGGTGGCTCACGCCTATAATCCCAGCACTTTGGGAGGCCGAGGCAGGTGGATCACGAGGCCAAGAGATTGAGACCATCCTGGTCAACATGGTGAAACCCTGTCTCTACTAAAAATACAAAACATTAGCTGGGCATGGTGACATGTGCCTGTAATCCCAGCTACTCAGGAGGTTGAGGCAGGAGAATTGCCTGAACCCAGGAGATGGAGGTTGCGGTGAGCCGAGATCACGCCATTGCACTTCAGCCTGGGTAAGAAGAGTGAAACTCCATCTCAAAAAAAAAATTGCAAACATATTGATAAATTTTTAATTTATTGAATGATGAGCTTCAGGCTATTACCATCAATGAAGACATACTTTTCTTGTGACTTGGCACAGAACTTGACTCCATCTCTGTAGGAAATTCAACAGTTTTACCAATGTAATATAAGCAGTATACTTACCAAATTTAGAGCTGATACAATGTTGGGATAAATATAAACGACAGGGAATCAGAATCAGGCAGAATTCGGATCTTGCCCAGCCAGAACTAGGGGTTCAAAATAAGATAAATGACAATTTCATGTTTCAGGATTACTTCTAACACATACAGATGGGAGAAAGCACAGCATAATAGAAACATGAAAGAAAATACCACTTAGGCGTCTTATCTAGCCGAAGCTCCTTATTAGTGGAGAGTGTAATTTCAATGATGTGGTTTTTATGACCTGCTTTGTAGAAGCTAAAATAATAAAGAGAAGGTTGGTCAGCCTCATCTTCTCTTTTTATAATACTTCATAATGTGATAATTAAACATTACTTAAAATTTTTAAAAAAGAGGTGTTCTTAGCAACACTGGTGACTCTGCTATTTCAAAGTCAGTTATTTTGAACCCTTTAAGGTATTAACCTTCGTCTAGACCTGCTGCCCTCATCTACAGAGGATGCAAGTGTCCAAGGTGAATTATGCAGGAAGTCATTTAGGCTGAGCCTCTTGGCATTCTGAATTGGGTGCCATTTTTAATTTTCATTTTCTCATGGTTGCTGTGTGTGTGGTTATGTTTACAAAAGCAGTTTAGGCCCTGGAATTCCAAGCTGTTCTGTTAGGACCCAGGCCACTTTGCTATCTCCTATCTATGTTCAAAACCAACCAACCAACAAACAAAAAACAGCAATGAAAAGAAGGAGTCATAAAGGATGTCAGGCTGTAGCAGGTGCATTTGGGATAAGTCAGAGATCAGAAGCCTGCTGGAGACCGGGAGGGAGGTGAGCAGGCTGTTGTAGAAAGATGCAATGGCTGGAACAAAGGCAAGAGCATAGAAATTTATCCATGATCTCAGACAAGTTTTTCTTGCAAAACATTCGAGGAAGCAAATCAGAAAAATGGAGTGGGGTTGGACACAGGAGGGAAATATAATGGGAATAGCAGTGGGTATTCCTAAGAAATTTCATTACATTCGTGACTGGTGCCAGACATCAAGCTTTATTCAAGGAATTCTAATAAGCTGTTTTTAAAGGGAATAGTCATCAAATATAGGTGAGAAAGTTAACTTCAGTCCTGTAGTAGAATTAGTTTTTTGAAATGACCACTCTCATAACTTTGCATCTTGTAAAGGAAGCCTAGTATACTTATCAAGGACAAATTGGTATGGTTAATCTTTCGACTAAAGAATCAAGTTTGAACAACACAGAGGAGAAAATCAAAGTCCTCTGGCATTCACAGCATTTCCAAACGAGTGTCCTGAAAATACTCCCGCAGAGACACACAAGAATCACAGAAAAGGATCCGGACTGACTCCAGCTTCACTTTGAAATCATTGGCGGCTGTCATCTTCATCCTGCCCACTTGTATCTGGGGCTAATAAAGAATACAGGAGCCTTGTTTCCTACTGGGCTGTCAGTGAGGAAAAGGAGGAAAGACAGTCAGATTAGCTGGGGACGATGACGGCTCTGAAGCAAAGCCATTCTGTGAGGCTGAATGATGGACACTTCATTCGAAAGCCGGGATTTGGCACTTATGCTCCTGATGACATAAGTGGACCCCAGGGCGTCTGAAGTTTGTTAGGTCAGCAGTACTTGCAAGGTTTGTTAGGTCAGCTGTGTTTGTACATGTAGTGATTTTTCGTTTCATTTCAGACCTGCACCTGGTAGACAGTGGATGCTTGGAAAGGCTCATCTGGGCTTCCATTTAACTGTCTCTAGCTTGCCTCTCTCAAGGTCACAGAGATCTTTTTTTGTACTAAGTAGCATAGCAAGCTATTGACTATGGGGATTCTGAGATTGATAATTTTGTGGGTATATTATCTTTCTTACTATTAAAAATGTCAATGTTACCTAAAATATCAAATGATTTCCATGTGTTTTACATGCATTATTTTATCTAATTCCTTAACAACTGGCCTAGGTAAGTACTCATTAAAATTTGTTACATTTTAAAAGTCCAAGCTCAGGCTGCTCTCATCTTTTGCTCTGGCCAGAGTCACTCTACTCTTGGTTAGAAACATGAAGGGCCAAGGGCCCAGGGGGAGTGAAAAGCCAAGGTAAATACTTAGTGGCAGCTTTGCTGTGAGGTTGTTGGTGCTGGAAGTATTTGGCAGAGATTTTCAACCATCTAAACTTTTTGTCATATAAGAAGCCACTGTGATTCTGTTACAGTGCCATCAATATATTAAAAATGTAGTAGTCTTTCATTTTGAGGTATTACCAGAAGTTTTTTGTCTTATGACCAAGAAAATGAAGGATTATGGACACGAAGGGTGAGGTTGGAGTTAAAATTTAGTAAGTGAAAGAAGACAGTTTTCTGTAGTAGAGGGGAGGCCCATATGGATTGTTAACTATGAGGTCAGGTCTAAGGTTTTATGGACAGGGAAGAAAAAGAATGTGTTGACTGGTCTTAGAGAAAGTGTAATTCAGCCTGGCGTGGGGCCTTGGTCTGGGATCAATCAGAGACTGAAGTGAAAGTTTGGCCCAGGACCCTGGTCCAGGACTAATCAGGAGTTGAAGTGAAATCTTGGCCTGGGACCTTGGCCCAGGAGCAATCAGATGCTGATGTGATAATTCATAAAGGCTCATCTCACAGTTCCATGTCCTCAAAATGAAAGGAAAGTGCCCATCAGAGCCTGTGTACACGTCCACAAAAGGAGAAGAGATTTTGCTAGAAGTCTGTTGGTTATACATAGGACAAATGTGTTTCTCTGTTAGGTCTTGTTCTCTTAATAGTGCATTTGTTGGCATGTATTGGGCAGAAAAGACAAAGGTGTTTTTATGTTGGGCCTTGTTTTGTACCTGAGTGAGCCAGGGTTTTGTGTAAGTTTCCTTATCTGTGTGTGTAGTCTGATTTTTTTAGGCTGTTTCTCTGTTCAAAGGAGTTTTGCCAAGAACTCACTTTGTTTAACTTTTTTCTTTCATTTTTACCCTCAGGAATGGAGTCCATCATTGTTGTTAGGGAGAGTGGTGTTGACTTTTCTGGCTATTTCTTCTTGGAGGGTGGTGTCATGTGGGGAACGGTAGAGTTTTTCCTGGGGTTGGTTTAAGGGCCTTTGGAAGAAAGGTGTTTATGTGTAGTGTTATTAGTAGTATTATTTAGAGTGTGATAGTTTTTAGGTGAGAAGCAATAATTTAGGCTATTAGAGTACATGTATTAGAATGAAACAAGGGGGCATCAGGATAGTTTAAAAATTCTGAGGCTGTTGGTATATCCTGATAATTGGTGGTTACGGTTATATCTGTTAAGATTTGGGGGTATGAAAGCTTGGTTTTGGTTAGTTTTTTTGGCCTTCTTTTCTCAAATAAAGAAACCTCTGGGTTATGAGTATTCTATTTATTCTTATGACCTGGTAGGATTTGTAGGATGATAGTTCAGAATCATCCTAGCCAAAATTTATATTTTTATGTCTTTTTATAATTTTTTATTAAAAACATATTTTACTGTTTTCATATACTTTGCACGTGAATTTATTTATAGTAGTCCCAATTATATGTCATAGTGGTAATCTTTAGTAATCTTTAATATAAAACCTGGTAAGTTGTTTTAATTATGTATTAGGCATAAAGGCCGGCTTTTTCTAGTATAGTTACAGGTGTGGTTATTTCCATATGTCCTCAGGTCTTATTAATTGTGAAGTAGGCAGTCTAACAGTTTTTAAAGGTCAAAGAAGTAGTTTGCAATCTCAAAATACTTAGTAAATGTTTATATGTTTAGTATATGACTTGTGTAATTTAGACCACATATTTATATGTTGAAGACGTTTGTCTTTTACCAATACTTTTTAAGACTTTTTATTTTTTAAAGATTAAAGTCATGTGAACTAAGAGGCTTTATAGCTTTTACTTTTCCTTCAAAATATTTGATGGTGTTTTTTTTTTAGGCCAACTAATCAGAGTTCTTTTTTTATAGATATCACATGCATAATATATATGTGACTATGTAGCCATAAGAAGATCTAGCAGTTGTGAGATTTTCTGTTTGTCAGTCTTCTAATTGGTTTATTGATCTCAGGGTGCAAATTTAGACAGAAATGTTAAATTCCCCTTTAACATTTCTAGGAAATCACATAAACAGTACCTATTTGAATTACATTCCTGATTACTGTAACACCTACTGAGTTTACCCAACAAGAATGTATCCACAGCTTGTAAAAATGCTGTAACATTGTATACAAAGAAGCAATAGAAGATATGACAGCCATGAAAAGAAAGGAGGAAAATGCAGTAGGAAATGCTGGAATTTCTGGTGCCAACGCCCTCACAGGCCGTTGGGAACTGGAGTTAGTCCAGGGCCTTCAGGTAACATTGAGGTGTAGCCTCCGCCAGAAACTTTCAGTTGTCTTAGGGTATCTTTTCAGCTGCGTGTGACAGCTAGGGCTTCCGTGAAAGGAAATTGGAGTGGAACGGAGTTAACATTCCAAATACCTGAGGATGATGGGGATTGAAAAAGTCCTCTTCAGGAAGCCTGTCCCCTGGGTCTTGTAAGGCTGGCAGCCGCCCTATTCACTGACAGGAACCCAGTGTTTCATTTGCTCTTGATAGGAAAAAACCGAAATGAAAGTAGAGTTTGGAGGTCAGCTCCTGCTTACCCTTCCCATGAATCCCATTCCCAGCCCATGCACCAAAAATATTTTACAGTCTCAACAATGTATCAAAAATGTAGTAGGCTCTCGTGAGGTATTGGCCAAAGTTTTTTGACTTACAACCAAGAAAATTAAGGAATGTGGACACAAAGGGTGAGGTTAGAATGAAAGTTTAATAAGTGAAAGAAGAAAGCTCTCTGTATTAGGGAGAGGGCCTGAATGGGTTGTCAACTGTGAGGTTGGGCCTGGGGTGTTTTTAACTGGGAAGGGAAGGAATGTGTTGACTGGACTTGGAGAAACTGTTACTCAGCTTTGCCTTGGACCTAGGCCCAGCACCAATTAGAGACTGAAGGGAATGTTTTGTTCAGAACCTTGGTCCGAGCCCGGGAGCAATCAGAGGCTGAAGTGGTGATTCTTAGAGGCTCAGCTCACAGTCAAAAGCATGTCCAAAAAAGGAAAGGAAAGTGCCCACCGAAACCCCTGTAGCCCGCAGTGTACATATCCACAAAAGGAGAAGAGACTATTTTCTAGAAACCTGTTGGTTATTCAAAGGACAAAGGCATTTCTGTGTTGGGTCTTGTTCTCTTATTAGTGTAGTTGTGGGCATGTCTTAGGCACAAAGGACAAAGGTGTTTCTGTGTTGGGACTCGTTCTTTTATCCGAGAGGGCCAGAGACTTGAGTAAGTTTCCTCATCTGTGTCGGCAGCCTTATTTTTTCAGACCATTTCTCTGTTTAAAGGAGTTTTTCCAAGAACCTGACCTAACTGACTAACTTTTTTCTCTCAATTCCACTCATTAGGAAATGAGAAGGGAAGACTTAGGAGGCATAACGTCCAATAGGGACTAGATTGTGCATCTCATGGAATACACTATTCAGCCATCCACTCAGTTAATTGCAGGGAAATTGAACTGTCACTCTGGTCACTGTGAGGTAAGGCCAGCTTTGGGGTTGCTTTGCAAGAATTGCTCTAAAAATGACAGAACAATGTGCTTAATCTTGGTAGAACTATAACATGAGATGTCAATAGAAAACAGCTGTCAGATGGGGCCAGTTGCTTTTCAATGATCCGTTTTATCCAGTAAGTATAAGGTGTGTCTAGCATACGTTATATTACGTTTTTACAATTGATTCATATGGAACGAGATGTGTTTTTTCCATGCTCCAGGGTGAAGCCAATTTCTCTAATTCATTTGGGAACAGAAGTTACACTGGAGTTTAGTCAGCGTCCTCAGAGGACAGGTCTATCACTGAAACTTGCGTCATCAAAATTGGAGGAAGAGGCCAGCAAGAAGTGAAAATGCTGTAGGGAAAATGCATTGATGTTCTCTGAATTGGGCAGATCATCAACTCTTCTTACTCCTGTCTTTTAGGTTTCCAAAAGCCAGGCTGCCGAGGCCACCAAAGTGGCTATTGATGTAGGCTTCTGCCATATCGATTCAGCATACTTGTACCAAAATGAGGAGGAGGTTGGGCAGGCCACCTGAGAGAAGATTGCTGATGGTGTCCTAAAGAGCGAGGACGTATTCTGCACCACCAAGGTGAAAGTTCAGTGTGTGCCGTGGCCAGAGGCCACCATCAGTTCAGATATGTTATTTTGAAATGAAAATATGGTCTAAGTTGAATTCTTTATTTACCTCCTAATATTGTGAAGGTACATTACAGAAACAGAAACAGAAATGACTTGCTTACTCTGAAATATGTTACTAGTAGAACACAGTTCTTCAATGTCTCTGAGCATCAGACAGTATTCATATGTAAAACAGAAATAATGATACTTATCTCCTTTAACTGTTGTATGGATTAACCAAGCCACTATGGGTCCACTCCTTCAATTTTTCAGTAGAGGCTCTCAGGACATAGCAAGAAAGGTCAGATATTATTCAGAAAAGGGAGCCAGACAAGAAAATACTTTTTCTCAAATAAGTATTGAGTTTTCTGAACTTTCTAAAATTGTCCTAGGTGGAAATCCATGCTTCCAGTGTAAACAGCTGAGGTCTCCAAGGATGTACCCTGTGTATGTTTATATCAATAACAACTTCTTTTGAGCATGTGAGTCTCTCAGAAGAATCTTTCTAGGAATTTATCATACAGGACAAGAGATTCTGTTCTCCCTGTCCTGCCATTTCTTGACTCATTTCATTGGATGACTCCTCTAACCCTTGATACGTTAAAGTTGATTTTTCTGCCTCATCTTAGCTTTAGTCACAGATTTATTACATTGCAGTAATTCGAGGAAATTTCAGTATCCCATCAAGGACCTGATTTACACTGAGTAACATATATTTAGCCCCAGCTCTTTTAGCTTTAGACCACAGGGTTTTTAGACTCACATCTCAATGTCTGACCATGAAGTTTAATTTTGGTCCCCAAATGTGTGAAATTATAATCCAGTTTGTTTCTTTTGGCCACTGCAGCTTTGGGCTACTTTCTTTCAGCCAGAATACGTTCGCCTAGCCCTGGAAAGGTCACTGAAGAAACTTGGACTGGACTATGTAGACCTCTTCATTATTCATGTACCATTCGCTATGAAGGTCAGCTTTTGTTTTTCCTTGTTATGCTCAAGACTGTTTCATCACTGTTAGAGGCACCTGAATTATCTCATTCTAGCTTGGTTTCCTGGGTCCTTCCTGAGACAGGTAGATTTGAGTGAGGTGCATAGGATTGCTAAATCTCTTATGAGCCTCATTCACGATTGAGTGACTCTACCATCAAGATTTTCTGTCTATCCTTGTCCCCCAGCCTTAAGGGGGTTTCAGATTCAATGATCTCACTTCCTCTACCCTTGATAGTTGAGGACATTAGCCTGTATTTCTCAGTGCTTGTGTTCCTGAGTGGAGGCCCTGAGCCATTAGGGTCCTCAATAATGGTGAGTTACCACAGACGGCAGAGATACAATGGGGAACCTTACCTCTGCAGGGGAGGGTGTCCCATAGGTACCCCTCAGCCCAACAAGAGTGGTACCTGGGATGGCACATATGGCACAGCTGGACTCCTTTGGGCTTCACTTATGCAACCTCTCATTACAGTGGACATTGGCTTAGCGCATCGGATGTCCTCACTATCTGAGTTGGATGAACATAAGCTGGGGCTAAACCACTGATGAGTCATTATATTAAGTGCTGTCCTCCACACCCCTCTGCACCAGCTTTTCCTTGGTAAACAAAATAAATTCCAACTTCAGGTATCTGAAGGCACACACATATTTTTGGCTGAGATAGAAAGGTCTTTAAAAGTCTAATCTGAGATTCTTTTAAATAGCTTCAGCAAAGCCAATTTATAAAGAGCCTATCGACCAATAATTATTCTTGCTTAAGAATAATAAGACTAAGACATATTTTACAAATAAATTCGTTCTCTCACTATTTGTCTTTGGTAAAAACCAGGGACTGGAGAGAAAAAAATATTTCAAAAGAAACTATAGTGTTCGGGCGAGGTGGCTCACGCCTGTAATCCAAACACTTTGGGAGGTCGAGGTGGGCAGATCACAAGGTTAGGAGATTGAGACCATCCTGGCCAGCATGGTGAAATCCATCTCTACTAAAAATACAAAAATTAGCTGGGCATGGTGGCATATACTTGTAATCCCAGATACTCGGGAGGCTGAGGCAGGAGAATCACTTGAACCAGGGAGTCAGAGGTTGCAGTGAGCTGAGATCGAGTCACTGCACTCCAGCCTGGTGACAGAGTGAGACTCCTTCTAAAACAAAAAAAACAAAAAACAAAAAACAACAACAAAAAAAAGAAACTATAGTACACCTGTTATTAGCTTCTACCTTTGTCTACTGTTTCTCAGTTTTTATCAATTGCCTACAATTTATCTGGTCTGAATTCTAAGTTATTTTCTGCCTGCAAGTCAACAAAATTATGTTTCCATTTTTTTCTCCTACTTTCTTTACTTGGAATCACCAAATATTTAAATATATATAACAGCTATATATATATTTGTACTTACTGCCTATAGAGTTTTTAGTAGTAAAGACTAAATCTGTTTTCCAGGACTGCTTTTCTTTTCTTGTTATAATCTGACCTTGGTATCTTTTTTTAAATTTTTTATTTCTTTCTGTCCATATTTTCTTCCATATGACACAAGACTTCACAACCTCCTAGGAGTTAGCCTTCCTAGCAACATGGGACATGATCTAGGAATGAGCCTTCCTAGGAAAGGAAAGAAAGAAAAATATGTCCTCTGGACACCAAATTCACTATGCCAGAAGGAAGGTTAAGCTTGGGAATGGAGTTATCCAAAAGTTGCCTTCCTTTTATTTCCAAACAAATAGCTGTAATTTTGCATGCTACTACATCATATGTAAAATGCAGATTTACTGAGTGAAAGACAAATGCACAATTGAATTATTTCTCTACTGCTTTTTTTTCCAGTGTAAGATGTAGATTTGGTGAGCACTAATCAGAGGCTCACAAGAGTGTAACCACTTGCCTCATTGTGTACCTGTCCTCTTTTTCTTAATCCTCAAATAATTTGTTCTTTACCCTTTAGATAGTGAAGCTCCCATAATCCTCTTTGAAAAAAATTCAGGTCAAAGATCTTGCTGTGACTTGCGTTTTTCTTTCTGGGGTGTGTCCTCAACCTTGCCCAATGAAACCTCTAATTGATATCTGCCTCAGTTATTTTTGGTTTACAGTAAGATCGATTACTTATTTGAGGCACATGAGTATTATTGCTGACTCAAGGACACCCCGCATCTCTCCTCCCCACTTCTTACTCTTACTTTCCTTCTTCCCTGCTTCTCCCCTTCTCCATATCCCCTATACAACCGAGCATTCCCCTGAGATTGTATACAGTCTGGGAAAAGTTTGAATTCTTGTCAACCCCACGAACCCACACTCTTCAGGTAGAAGCCCCGACATAGCAGCTATCTAGTCCCTTGAGCCTTGAGAAGCCAGAGGCCTCACACCTGGTCATTGGAGGGAATGCTAAGTAGAAAGAAACAAAAAGAGGAGGGGAGTTTCAAGCCTGATCTCTCTGTGGTGCAAGAGTAGTTGAGACTTGGCAGCTTCACCGATCCAGGGAGAAGCCTGATGCAGGGGTGGAGGCCACAGCTAGATTCTCTACTTAGGCAATGCTCAGAAGAAATGTGGGGTCAGAAGTTTCCATGGAGTTTCTGCCCAGTGGAGACGTGGGAGCAGGACCACAGACTCCAGACCCCAGAATCACATAGACATTGGCAGCTTGAAACTTCTCCCTGGAAAAGCCACAGGCATAGAAGTCCAACCTGTGAGAGCAGCCACACCGGGTGTGCCCAGCAAAGCCATGGGGACAGGGCTGCCTAAATACTTGAGAGCTGACCCTTGTACCAGGTGCCCAGGATGCGGGACGTAAAATAAACAGAAATTATTTGAAGCTCTAAGGTTTAATGTCTGCCTTGCTGGGATTCTGACTTCTGTAGGTCCTGTTTCCCCTGACCTGACCCACACCTTTTTTTCCTTTTTTTGTTAATTTTTCCCTTTTGGAAAAGGAATGTTTACCCACAACTGATTATATTGTTGTACTTTGAAAGTAAATAACTTGTTTTTGACTTCACAGGCTCAAAGCTGGCAGGAACCTTGAATCTGAGATGAACTTTTGTAGTTTGGAATTTTAAGTTGGTGCTGGTCCAAGTTACAAGTTTTGGGAACTATTGGGTTGAAATGGTTACATTTTGCATGTAAGAAGGTTGTGAGGTTCTTGGGCCAAGGGCATAACGCTGTAATTGGCATATTTGACCCTCCAAACCATATGCTGAATTCTCAATGTCACTGTTCACTGATGATATGATCATTTGAAACCCTAAGGACTCCTTCAGAAAGCTCCTAGAACTGATAAAATAATTTGGCAAAGTTTCTGTATACAAGATTGCTGTAATCAGTAGCTCTTCTATATAGCAACAGCCACCAAGTGGAGAATCAAATCAATAATTTAACCCCTTTTACAATAACAAAAAAAAAAGAAAAGAAAAAGAAGAAAAAAGAAATACTTAGGAATATACCTCACCAGGGACTCAAAAGAACCTCTACAAGGAAAACTACAAAAACTACTGAATGAAATCATAGATGACATGAACAAATGGAAACACATCTCCAGCTCATGGATGGGTAGAATCAATATTGTGAAAATGACCATACTGCCAAAAGCAATCTACAAATATAATACAATCACCATCAAAATACCACCATCATTCTGCATAGAATTAGAAAAAATGATTCTAAAATGTATATGGAACCAAAAAAGAGCCTGCATAGCCAAAGCAAGACTAAGCAAAAAGAATGAAGCTGGAGGCATCACACTACCTGATTTCAAACTATACTATAAGGCCATGGTCACCAAAATAGCATGGCGCTGTTTTGTTACAAAAATAGGCACATAGACCAGTGGAACAGAACAGAAAACCCAGAAATAAACCCAAATACAGCCAACTGCTCTTTGACAAAGCAAACCAAACATAAAGTGGGTAAAAAAGACACCTTTTTCAACGAATGGTTCTGGGATAACTGGCGAGTGACAGGTAGGAGAATGAGACTGGGTCCTCATCGCTCACCTTATAAAAAAAATCAACTCAAGATAAATTAAGGACTTAAACCTTAGACCTGAAACTACAAATGTTATCTGGAAGATAACACTGGAAAAACCCTTCTAGACATTGGCTTAGGCAAGGATTTCCTGAACAAGAGCCCAAAAGTAAATGCAATAAAAGCAAAGATAAGTAGCTGGGACCTAATTAAAGTAAAGAGCTTTTGCCAAACAACAAAAAAAACAAAATTAGCAGAGTAAACAGACAACACGTAGAGTGGTCATTATATTGAATAGTTTTCCATAACTATTCAAAAGTATCATATATAGAGTCACTAATTTCCTGGCCTTTTATGAATTGTGGAGTATGGTAATGTGGATCGTTTATGCATCTCCAGAAACAGTTTATATTGTAAACAGTACTTTCTGTATTATTGGAAATAGAGTCTTTAGCATATTCGAGTTTGATTAGGTTAGAGTGATCATTCCATCAACCCCAAAATGAATTCAGAAAACTCAGTATAAATTCTGTTCCTTTAGAACCCCTTCTGCTGTCAATCAAATCAGTATGTTTACAATTCTCCAAAGAAATACAAATCTAAAATATATATATGTAGATATAGATATATATAACTAAATATTTATATCTAAATATATATCTAATATATGTTTATATTAGAATACCTATTATATATTTGTATTATATTAGGAATGTGTATTCTAGATATATAATAATATATGTGGTATATGTTAGATCCATATATATACACAAGTATATATGTGTGTGTGTGTCATCTCATAGGTAAATCTATGAAATCTCTCTATCTCTATAAATGTAGGAGCAGGAATCCATTTGAGGGATTGCCTCATTTCAGTTTTGTTTTCTGAAAATTGCCACCACAAGCTGTAGTGCCATGAGTGCCAGTGCCATGGCCTCTTCCAACTGTGAAGGCCTGAAATCAGGGGAGCCACCCAAGTATCCTCCAGTCTAAGACTGAAAGCCTGAGAAGCTGGGGGCCACTGGTGAAAGACCTAGAGTTCAAAGATCAGAAGGCCTGGAATTCTGATGTCCAGGGGTAGACAAAGATGGGTGTCCCAGCTTCAGAAGAGAGAGAGCAGGCTCACCTTTCCTCTGCTTGTATATCAGAAGCCTCAGCCAATAGAAGGGTTGTTTCCCACACTGAGTGAGGGAAAATGTTTTTCAGTTGGGTTCAAATGATTCTCCTGCCTCAGCCTCCTGAGTAGCTGGGATTACAGGCATGCACCGCCATGCATGGCTAATTTTTGTATTTTTGGTAGAGACAGAGTTTCATCATGTTGGCCAGCCTGGTCTTGAACTCTTGATATCAAGTGATCCACTCACCTCAGCCTTCCAAAGTGCTGGAGTTATAGGTCTGAGCCAACACATCTTGGCCCAATGATTATATTCAAATCTTCCTTCCAAAGGGAGACACAAGTAAAAATTATGGGATGTGAGGATTATTCACCAATTTACTGTAATTAGTTTCTAATTTTATGAATAATATTTAGCAGAATCACAAATTATATAAAAGAGTTACCAGTTTTTTTGGAAGTTAACTTTTGATAGTTTCTTATAAAACTGGATGAAAGACACAAATACTGTAAGGCACTGTTTGTTTGCATATTGCAAACAATGTCCAAAGACCAAACATTGTTAATAATTAATATTCCAATAAACATTATGTCAGGATTTCTGTGTTTTCATTTTTCTTTGAGGCCTTGCCAGGATTACAACACCATCAGGACTGCATTTTCATTAGGAATGAATATTCCTTTTATAATGCAAAGAAAAAAAAATATTTGCTGAAGAAAAGGTAAAAGGGGAAATTTCTTTTGGCTCTAATGTTTAATTTTTTATTGAGTGTCACCTTTTAAAAAGTGCTCACTAGTCATTCCTTTAAATAGCATCTGTGTGAAAGAAAGATGTAAAATGGTTGATCATTTACATGACGTAAAATAAAGATGTGGCATCATCGTGGCATGAACAAAAATGAGACTTGTTGCTAGAGGTGTTTTGTAGTTCAACATATGATCACTAATCATTCTATAAATATACTGGAGGTGTTTTTGAGATAGGTAGATAGACAGAGGATAGATGATAGATATATAGATAGATAATAGCCAGATAGATTCTGGACGGAAAATTTTACTTCAGCAAGAAATTAATAATTTTACTCTGACTATGTAATAATGTCAGTAAGAATTCTCTTGGATAAAAAACAAGTGAACTGGATTCAGTTTTCTTCACAGCTTGTGTAATACACTATTGCTTGCTTCCTTCTGCATGCCGTTAACCCCAGACAGCGGGCCGTGAGGCATTGTCTGCCTGTTGTTTATATAACCTGTGAATATAAATGCCGGATGTTAATGAAGGAAACAGGATCTGCTTAGTGAAGGAAGGGATATAAAATGGATCCCAAATATCCGCGTGTGGAGCTAAATGATGGTCACTTTATGCCTGTACTGGGATTTGGCACCTACGCACCTCCAGAGGTAACATAATCACGTTTTCAGTGTTGTGCATTTAAAAGAGCAGAGCTAGGGTAAGTGGAAGATGACCTGGGTTTTGGCTTTGTGTCACTATGTTATTCTGCGTGACTCACCATGTCTGTATTACTAGGTCAGAGCTAGTCTCTGTTCGAAGAGAAAAGGTAGTCAACTTTTGTTCTGCACTGAGGTCTGGTCATACGGTCACGTACTGCCTGTTTTTATTTTATGCACTGTGTTTTTGTTCTGTTTATGGGCATCCCCAGCTTTGCAGAATATTTGAAACTCAATAGTGAAGAACACTGCCTGGCATTTCCTTTGGTAGGAGATTGACTGCAGTGGAATGGTTTATTTCTTTATTTCTATAATTGAAGAAATTCTTTAGTCTTCCAGGTAGACATGATCGAACAAAGTCTTTGTGGTAACAGTGCCTAAAGATGGGGTGCATGAAAGCGGTTGCAGAGAGTATTGCTGAGCTGTCACGGGGCCTTGGGCATGACAGAGTAATAATTCTGGTCCCGGACTTAATACAATTTCCCACATACAATTCTCACCTCTAGGAAGATTATGTGAAAGAAAAAATAACTTTATTTTAAGAAAAAATGAAACTCACAAAAGAAATTTTGAATTTTTGGTCCATGTTAACATGCATCAGATCTGCATAAAAATGATTGGGGTGGTCCTCTGACATGAAAGCAGGCAAAATGGAGACTTTATTTTCTAGACTGAACTATTTCTCCACTGGAAGAAAACTTGTGTTCCAAGGCTACTAAGTATGTGAATAGGGACTAGTCACATAAAATTTGTCTTACTCTTCTCAACTGTACATTGTAAGAATTTACAGAGAGACACCTTGAAGACCATCAACACTAGCAGTTTACGTTGTAATGCAATTGTCATGAAGGGGAAGTAAGGAAACCACGGCACTGAAGCTCCAGCCTTGGTAAACTTGAGTGCCTGCACAGCAAAGAGATCAGGGCTGGTATCAGGGGAAGGCAGTGAGACCTGACATCTGGTTCTTTTTAATATTATTGGAAATAGAAAGCTTCTGAAATACTCATATTAAAATAGAAAATTGTTCTATGTATGGCTTTGTTGTTTAAAAAAGATACCTTTCAAATCTTTATCCAAATTTGGTAGAGGTCAATAATTTTAAATTTCACTGAAATTATATCTTTCCTAAAAAAGTTGGCCTTATTTTTTAAGACTAAAGCATACTTTACTATTCCCTTACAGCTTGCAGTTAATTTCTTATGTATAAGTCTACATACTTGGAGTATGTGTCTTTACTCCTTGTGCTTAGTTCTGTCATGCACACAGAATGGCTAATGGCTGTGTAGAAAGAGTCAGCGCTATAGAATGTCACCCATAGATGCAGGTGTTTTCAAAGTTGGAGCCTGGCTGGTATCTGAGAAGTTGAATTTCTCATCCTTTCGTAACTGACAAGGGTGGTGTCTATAATTAACTACTTGTACAAAGTGTGGGGTTTCTATATACCTGCTTTCTTTACAAGACTGGAAGTTTGGTGTGTGCTATACAGACTGGGTCAATGTAACCAGCACCCAGTTAAAATCTTGGGGATTGAGTCCCCAATAGCATCCCTTGTAGACATTTCCCCTATGTTGTCAAAATGTGATCCTGGAGGAAGTAGTGTGTTTCCTGCAATATCATTGAAAGACGAATCATAGGAACTTACACTGTATTCTTTCCATAGTTTCTTCTGTGTGTCTTTTCCCATGTGTTCATTTCACTATATTAAAAATAATTAGGAGTGTGCATGGAGTCACTCATGCCTGTAATCCCAGCACCTTTGTAGTTGAAAGCAGGTGGATCCCTTGAGCTTGGGAGTCTGAGCCTGGGTAACATAGTGAATCCTGTCTACCAAAAATACAAAAACCAACCGGCCATCATGGTGCCTGTCTGTGGTCCTAGCTATATGGGATGCTGAGGTGGGAGGATCTCTTGAGCCCAAGGTAAAGAAGGTGGGGGTAGGGGCAGATTTTGTAGTGAGCCTAAATCATGCCACTTTATACCAGCCTGAGTGACAGAGTGAGACTCTGTCTCAAATAATAATAAAAATAACTATATTTATAAGTTGAATCTTGTTAATTTTTCCAACAAATGACATCATCTGAGGTTGTTGTTGGGAAACTCAACTAATCACTAATGCTAGTGATTAACCAGTAACTGCCCGGGACTGAAGAGTTCCAGAGATACCCAGCCTTTATTATTGACCAGGAAAGACTAAAGCAAATTGGGATGGGTTTATAACCCCACATATAGAACTAACTCAAGACACAAGGATAACGTGATGTTTGTGAAGGCTGTTGCTGGTGTCTGAACTACTGATACAGAAATGCTGGAAAAGGAAGAGCGTGGTTCCTTTAAATGATACAGAAGCAGGGAAGGGAAGTGCTGGGTAGAGGAGGCCATAGTCCCTGGCTAGGGTCCACCTGTACAGACCTAGATGAGGACAGGAATTTTTATTTTCCTGCCCAAATGTTGCATTTCCCAAGACCACCCTGGCCTGCCATGTCCCCATCCTATGCCTATAAAAACCCAAGATCCTACCAAGGCAGAGACAGAAGCAGCTGGACTTTGAGAGAAGCACATAGGCAGAGGAACACACAGGCAGCTGGATGTGGAGAGAAGCACATCAGCGGAGGAACGTACAGGTGGCTAGATATCTAGAGAAACGCATTGAAAGGTACCAGCACGCCAGCAGGCCACATACTGGCAGAAGCAGAATGGCGCTGAGTTTGGCTGGAGCAGTCAGAAGACAGCCCAGGCTGCTGAGCAGCCCGACTCCAGGGGAAAACGTTCCCACTCCATTCCCTTCTGACTTCCCCAACTTACCTCCACTCAATAAAACCTTGCACTCATTCTCCAAGCCCAGGTGTGGTCTGTTTCTTTTCAGACACCAAGGCTAGAACCCAAGATACGGAAAGCCCTCTGTCCTTGCGACAAGGTAGAGGGTCTAATTGAGCTGGTTAACCCAAGCCTGTAGATGGCAAAGCCAAAAGAGCACCCTGTAACACACGCCCACTGGGGCTTCAGGAGCTATAAACATCCACCCCTAGACATTGTCACAACCTGCCCATCTGTATGCTCCCCTAGAGGTGTGAGTAGTGGGGCACTGAAGAAGTGAGCCACATGCCCTTGCACACCCTGTGAGGAGAACAAGGAAACTTTTCCCATTTCACTACCTCTCAAGTACATTAATCACCAAATACTACTTTTTGTTTCTTCTTAAGGTTCCAAGGAATAGAGCTATGGAGGTCGTCAAATTAGCAATAGAAGCTGGGTTCCGCCATATAGATTCTGCTCATTTATACAATAATGAGGAGCAAGTTGGACTGGCCATTAGAAGCAAGATTGCAGATGGCAGTGTGAAGAGAGAAGACATATTCTACACTTCAAAGGTACTGTGCCTATGATGAGCATGAATGCACATATACTTAATGTGATTCTGTGGAGGTGACAGTTCTGTAACTGGTTCAGTAGTTGTGGATGAACTGTGCTTATTAGTTCCAATTTATTCGCACATATTCATGTATTAAAACTAAAATAAAAGGCAGAGAATGATGACGTCTTTCTCATCATTGTTATGTTCAAATTTATTACTTGAAAGTCACTTTAAGTTGCAATTCTCGCCTCTGATAAATTAGACTTTAAAGCAACAAAGATCAAAAGAGGCAAAGAAGGACATTACATAATGGTAAAAGGATCAATGTAACAAGAAGAGCTAACAATCCTAAATATATATGCACCCAATACAGGAACACCCAGATACATAAGACTTATAAAGAGACTTAGACTCCCACACAATAATAGTGGGAGACTTCAACATCAATATTAGACAGATCAACGAGACAGAAAATTAACAAGGATATCCAGGACTTGAACTCAGATCTGGAACAAGTAAACTTAATAAACATTTATAGAGCTCTCCACTTCAAATACACAAAATATACACTCTCATCAGTACCACATCACACCTACTCACAGGTTTAAATGAAATATTGGTTGGCTGCTTGTTTGTTATTTTCTTCCCTCATTTTTTCCTGTCTCCATTATTAAGCACAATTATTGGCATAAAAGAGGTTTTCAATACCCAGTTTTAGACTGCATTCTAGCTGGGCAAACAAGCAACTCTCCCATTCTCTCTCCCTCTTCCTTTTCTTCTTTCTTCCTCTCCTTTATTCTTTTTTTCTTTTTTCTTTTCCTTAAAAAAAAAAAAAAACAGGAGATAGTTCCCTTCCACCCCTATGGTATGCCAATGACCTTGGGGAAATCGGTCAACCTCTAAGCCTCAGTTTCCTCATGTGTAACATGGAATATTCCCTGCTTCGTAGTATGATGAGGATTACATGGGAAGTGCCTGGGATGTGCACCGTGCAGTGCCTGGCAGCTGCTCATATTCTCCATTCCTTTCCCTTGCTCTTTCCTCCATCCCTTTGCTGGATGCATAGTTTGCAAAAATTTTCTCCCATTCTGTAGGTTGTCTGTTTACCCTCATAATTATTGCTTTTGCAGTACAGAATCTTTTTAGTTTAATTAGGTCCCATGTATTTATTTTGGCTTTTTTGTGCATTTGCTTTTGGGAGTCTTAGAGACATTCTTTGCTGAGGCCAACGTACAGGCCAATGTAAAGAAGAGTTTTTCCAATGTTATCTTCTAGAATTTTTATGGTTTCAAGACTTAGACTTAAGTCTTTGCTCCATCTTGAGTTGGTTTTTGTATAAGGTGAGAGATGTCATTCAGTTTTATTCTTCTACGTGTGACTTAACGGTTGTCCCAGCACCATTTATTGAATAGGGTTCTTTTCCCTGATTTATGTTTTTATTTGCTCTGCAAACAAAGATTAGTATTTGGCCTAATTTCTGGGTTTTCTGTTCTGTTTCATTGATCTAAGTGCCCATTTTTATACCAGTATCATGTTGTTTTTGTAATGATTGCCTTGTAGTATAATTTGAAGTCTGGTACTGTAATGCCTCCAGATTTCTTCTTTTTGCTTAGTATTGCTTTGGCTATTGAGGCCCTTTTGTGGTTCCACATAAATTTAGAATATGGCCATTTTTATACTATTGATTCTTTCTATCTATAAGCATGAGATGTGTTTCCATTTGTGTTATGTATCATTTCTTTTAGCAGTGGTTTTTTGTTTTGTTTGTTTTGTAGAGATCTTTCATCTCTTTGGTTAAGCATATCCCTAGGGATTTTATCTGCAGCTGTTGTAAATGGCTTGAGTTCTTAATCTGATTCTCAGCATGGTTGTTGTTGAATAGCTATGCTATTAATTTCTGTAAATTGATTTTGTAACCTGAGACTTTATTAAATTTGTCAGATAGAGGAGCCTTTTGGATGCATCTCTAGGAGTTTATAGGTATATGATCATATTATTGGCAAACAGCAATACTTTGGCTTACTCTTTCCCAATTTGGTTGCCCTTTCTTTCTCCTTGCCTGATTACTCTGGCAAAAACTTCCAGTACTATGTTTAATAGAAGTGGTAAAAATTGGACATCCTTTTCTTGTTCCAGTTCTCAAGGGAATGCTTTCAACTTTTCTCCACACAGTATGATGTTGGCTATGGTTTGTTATATGTGGTTTTTATGCCTACTTTGTTGAGGGTTTTTACTATAAAGGGATGCTGGATTTTATTAATTGCTTTTTGCCATCTATTGAGATGATCATATGGTTGTTTTTAATCCTCTTTGTGCGATATATCATATTTGTTGGCTTGTGTATGTCATAGCATCCCTGCACCCATGGGAAGAAAACCACTTGATCACAATGTATTATCTTTTTGAGGTGCTGATAGCGTCAGTTAGCTGGTATATTCTTGAGGATTTTTGCATCTATGTTCATGGGGGCGATTGGTCTGCAGTTATTTTGTTTGTTTGTTTGTTGTTTTGTTTTTGGTTATGTCCTTTCCTGGTTTTGGTATTAGAATGATATTGGCTTCATAAAATAATTTAGGCAGGATTTCCTCTTTCTCTATCCTTTTGAATAGTTTCAGTAGGATTGGTACCAATTCTTCTTTGACTGTCTGTTAGAATTCAGCTGTGGATTCATCTGAATCTGGACTTTTTTTGTTGACAATTTTTGATTGCCGATTCAATCTTGCTGCTTGTTATTGGTCTGTTCAGGGTTTCTATTTCCTCCTGATTTAATCTAGGAGGGTTGTATGTTTCCAGGAATTTATCCACTTACTCCAGATTTTCTAGTTTGTGCACATAAAGGTGTTCTTAATTGTCTTGAATGATTTTTTTTTAATTTCTCTGGTATTGTTTGTAATGTGCCCAGTTTCATTTCTAATTGATCTTATTTGGAACTTCTGTCTTCCTTTCTTAGTTAATCTCACTAATGGTCTCAGTTTTGTTGATCTTTTCAAAGAACCAGCTTTTAGTTTCATTGATCTTTTGTGATTTTTTAATTGCAATTCATTTAGTTCTGCTCTGATCTTCGTTATTCCCATCCTTCTGCTAGCTTTTGGTTTAGTTCCTTCCCATTTCTCTAGTTCATAGTGTGACATTAGGTGATCAATTTGTGCTTTCAGACTTCTTGATGTAGGCATTTAATGTTAGCACTGCTTTTTCTGTATCCCAGAGGTTTTGATAAGTCTGTCACTATTATCATATATTTCAAGATATTACTTGTCATTTTGATTTCATTTTTAACCCAAAAACATTTACGAGCAGATTACTTAATTTCCATGTATTTTCATAGTTTTAAGGGTTCCTTTCAGAGTTGCAGGCAATGATGGTAGCTGAAATCGTGCACAAGCTTTCTCCTACCTGGATGCAGTGTTATTCTACCTAGATATTCTGTGATAGACTGTGTTGGTTGACCTCCAGCCAAGAGATGGCAGTTGCAAAAGAGCACCAGCTGTGGTAGTAGCAGTGAGAATTGAGCTTGCCTATGTTCCCCTGGGGAGGTATTCTGGTTTCTCAGGTGATGGACAGGGCCATATTTCCCAAAAATTTATTTTTTGTGTGTTAAGCTACCAGGGTGAGTGGAGGTGGACAACCAGGTTTGGTCAGGGTTAGGTAGGTATGTACTCTGACTCTTCTGGAGTGAGGCTAGCCACCACTGCTGTGAGGGTCAGGGGATGGTTCTCAGACCACTGGGGTAATGTTCCAAAGGGAACTATAACTGCCTCTTCTACAGAGAAGCGTTCACACAGGGAGTGGGGAGCAGACGGTGGCAGTAAGCCTCACCAAGATCGCATGGAGTTGTCAAGGCAGATCTCAGTCCCATGGTGCTCTGCCAAGAGCGCTGGACTAAGTTCCAAGCAGCCCATGTTCAGAACTCAGAGTTGCCATGGCCATAAGCTTTTCCTATGGAGATAGCAACTTTGGTTTTCAAGCTATGCCCCTCCTCATCCACCTGCAAGGGCAAGTGGCAGGCTTCTGCATTTGTCTGCAGCACACTTCCTGCTTTCCCCCAGGGTTCTGGAAAAGAAGTTCATCCCCACTCAGGATAATATTAATATCATGAAATTCAGTTAGAAGCTTCTTCCAATCTGTGACACCTGCCTGAACTCCCCAGTTCAGGTTGGCTGACTTCCCTGATATTCCCTGTGAGATAAACTGAGAAATGGCTTCCTTTAGTCCATGCTGGACATTGGGAATGCCTTTGTGGCACTTGCCACTGCTGCTTCTTCTACTTTATTTCTCACATCTCCCTAAATCAGTTCTGGGTCTGGGTAGGGTTAAGGCCTTCCCAATGGCCTGGATTTTCAGATTCCCTGGTGGGAAAGGGATTCTGGAGGCAGTTTCTTCCCTTCTCTCACTCTGGGCACTTACAATTTTTCATCTGTCTCACAGCGTAAGCTGCAGCCCGCCATTTCTTTCAAAGGGTCTGTGAATTCTTTTAGTTTTCCTATTAAGTTCCTGCATTGCTTCTTGGAAAAAAGTGTGCAGTGTGAATCTCTACGCACTATTCTGTCTTTCCATGGGAGAGACATGCTAACACTGCCTCCAATTCACAATCTGGGGGGGAAAAAAACAGATCAGAATGGTTTAACATAGACTACAGACTCATAGAGACCTATAATCATATTTAGCTTTTCTTATGTCTGGAATAGCTTTCTTCAATATCTTATTATTCTTAATCTCAATTGTCTTTTTCATCAAAGAGTGTAGGAGGAGGGGAGATGCAATGTAAGAGAGCCCTATGAATATTAAACAACAGATAACAAAAGTGTCTTGAATGGTGTTCAACACATGTCAGCATGTTAAAAACCTTTTGCTCTCCACTTTCTAAACAACAGGAATACTTATTCTTATCCATTGGGTTCAATGGATGAGAAAATTAGACTGTTCAAATGCTTTATAAATTCTCTCAAACACAATTCAGATAATTAGAATAATTATTTCTTGATATCAATTTTTACCTATTGAAAAGTTTAATTCCATTGTTCTGCAGGTGTACTAACTATGTATGCAATATATAATCGCATTCGTATGGGTAGGTCATATCAGAAGAAAACACACAAAGGGAATTTTTTTTTCCCAGGGGTCATTAGTGTGGACTGGTAAAAAATGTCTAAATATTAGGTGGAGCAAACTAATACAATTAGCTCATGTTTTTAGTCAACACAAGTCTTTTCTTTTACTCTGCAGCTTTGGTGCACTTTCCTTCGACCAGAGTTGGTCCAATCAGCCTTGGAAAGCTCGCTGAAAAAACTTCAGTTGGACTATGTTGACCTTTATCTTATTCATTTCCCAGTGGCTCTCAAGGTAGGCAATTTGTGGGATCAAATCTCTTTTCTGTTGTCAGCATGACCATCCTTTACGATGATGGTTGAATGAAGCTTCTTCTTAGGAGGGTGTAGGTATTATTACACGGGAGAAGAATCCTATGTATAATGCCCAACCCATGTTTTATTGAATAAATAGTGAAAACTTCCTTCTCTAATGTATGATGACAACAGAAGACAATACATCAACCTCAAAGCCTCTGCCTCAAAAACTCGAGAAAATAAAAATAGCCACCTTCAAGGTCCTGTCTTAATTAAGGTTCCTGAATCCATCTCTTGGGATGTGCACAGTTGCAGAAATTCATGCAGCTGTGGTGCCCCTCCCCCCCCCAAAAAAAAACTGCTGCACAGGTAATGCACAGTGAGTTTCAATCATCCCTCCTCGTTTTAAGCTTAAACAGATTTGGTAGAATTCACTCTGGATAAGTCTTAAAAAGGAAACCATAATGGGACCTGATAATCCTTGCCTTTTTCACTGAGGTTTCTTTTACAATGGAGTTTGTAGCTTTGCTTAGCCATGAATTTCTGTGTTGTGCATAACTTTTAATTCAAATGTACATAAAAAAAACCTCAGGCTAGTTTATTTAAAAGTGTATTGCATGATGCAAATGGGTAGTCACTGCCATGTATACATTTAAAGATTTGACATGGACTCTAAAAATGTGACCTTCTCTCCGTAATTATCTATGCACTCCAAGAGGTTTTCTGGATTTTTGTCCCAATCTTTTTCATTGGTGCCAATGGTAGCTTTGAGGCAGCTCCAAGTTCGTGGTCATTAACATAAGAGAGCCTCCCTCGGTCTTACAACTTTCAAATTAATATTGAAAAGAACTTCATTTGACCATGTTTAGTTTATGATCCTGCCCATGGACTATCAAGTCTTCAGGGGGATAAGAAGCTGTTATTGTATCACCTGGATCAAGAGTACAGTCCCTTATTGCTGGATATGAAGGGCTTTTTCAGGCAAAGAGAGGCATTTCCCCAGAGAAAATTATGGGAACAGACAAAAGTAACAAAAGTCGACCGTGAAACCCCATTAAAACCTGTAAAATGGTTATGTATTAATACATATAATAGAAGTAAGAGATTAAGGGAAGCCTGTCTCCTTAAGACATTCCTTAAAATTCCATATGTGAAACATTTTGCCCATATCATTTTCTAGAACATTGCAGCACCTATCTCATGGTGGAGTATTATCCTAAAATGTACCTGGGAGCATGCCTATGGCTGGAGAAGTTAAATTGTGACATAATTAAAATGACTATTTCTACTTCAGCCAGGTGAGGACCTAATGCCAAAAGATGAAAATGGAAAAGTAATATTCGACACAGTGGATCTCTGTGCCGCATGGGAGGTGAGTGCTTGGAGGAGAGAGCACAGAAAAAGAAGACAAGAAGGGGTCAACCTGTTTCCCAGCTTCCATGTGTGAGAATGGAATATGCACCACTGGATCTAGAAACTAAGGAGCTTGACAAAGGAGGTTTTGCTGAGTGATAGGGAAGAACACATGACTGAAAAAGAATAGAGAGAAATGAAGGAGATCAACTGGGGACAAGGAAGACGGGTACTCCCCATCCTCCATGTGCATTTATCTCTCCAGTTTCCTAAAGAGGACACAGAAATTCTTCCTCTTGCTGTCACCATCCTTTTCTGTTATCTGTTGTAAATTTTCTCCTGAGAATCAGTGCAATTTTCATTGTCATCTCTTAACAGTTGTTAACAGTTCTGTCTTGCATTTATCATAATCTGCAGCCATGTGCACAAATAATTCCTCACAACTGCTTTCTCCCCAGGCCATGGAGAAGTGTAAGGAGGCAGGATTGGCCAAGTCCATCGGGGTGTCCAACTTCAACCGCAGGCAGCTGGAGATGATCCTCAACAAGCCAGGGCTCAAGTACAAGCCCGTCTGCAACCAGGTGAGCGCCCTCAGCCTCTTCTTTCTCTTCTCAATGCCCATCTTCCTGTCCTGCTGCCTGGCTTCCATTTGTGCTGTTCTACTTACCTTTGTGAAACGGAAGATTCTAGAAAGCAAAGCCTCTGTGTAGAAGAACATGGAAGACCCTTAATTGTGCCTCTCCTTGGAGAAGGCTTAGTGAAAAAGCTACAGAGAACTTCATGCTGAATTGTGTGTAACATTTTGGGATATAAATTTTATCAAGGAGGACTGAAATAGAACACAGAGAGAAGGTGGACTTGTCTCTAAGCTCTGAAAGACCACCAGAGAGTGGCTACATAAAGATGATTTGGAGCAAAATGTGTATAATTATAGAGGCCATGAAAACATCGAATAAGCAGTAAATAAGGAGTGTGAGAATAAGAGAAGATAGGGTTTAAATGGGGTTTAGATGTTTGAATGCCTTTTCTTGGTATCTCTGCTTTCACAGTTATTGAACAAGTACAAAAAATTAACTGGAAACAATGAAAGTCATCTAAGTTAAGAGGAAGTCACCTGTTTATGAGAGCTCCTTGGAGAGAGAAGCTGAAAGGACACGGGGTGCCACCCCCACCCCTGACTCATATAGAAAAGCCTGTCAATGTTGCCTCATTTAGGCTCAGACTCCAATACGGAGTCTTACAGCGGAATCACCTAGGAAGAGAAGTTCTAAAGCACAAAGACAGGAAGTATTTCAATTTGGAACACATTTGCAGCTGGAAATGGGGAATGGGCTATCAGCCTAAACTACGGTCCTGTTCAGCCTGTGTTCATTTCAGTCCTTCTACGTTGTTATTTGGTGTTTGGACCACTCTGATAAAACAGCTGTCTTATTCAGACTGCTATTCAATACATTTGTAAATACCGTACCTACCAAAGGCTTTACCACTGAGAAAATGAAGATAACCTTGGAAGATTCTAAGACAGTCACTTTTCACTCCTGGAATGTACGTGGTCAGGAGAAATGAGTGACGCTGTAGAAGTCATATACCAGACGCACAGATGGCTTTGTGTTTGCTGTGGACTCTGCTGATGATGAAAGTGGGGGAAAATCCAAAACTGAGCGTTATGAAATAAGTAGGATATAAGAAAATCAAGATGTCTCTGTACATATGGGCGCTAAGAAACTAGACTTGAAGAACTTGTCTCTCTCAGAAATTGAGAAATTGTTAGCAACTGTTGAACTGAGCTCATCAATTCCTTGGCATTTGCAGTCTATCTGTGCAATCGTAGGACATGAAATAAAGGAAGGACTTGGTAAACTCCATGATATGATATTTAAAAGAAGAAAACTGTTGCAGTAATAGGAAAAGAAAATATGAATATTAATGCCTTATATATAAATGTGGAATAGATTTTCTCTGATTTGATTTTGATAAATGGAACTATGGCCTGGTTTTCCTGTATGCCTTCCTGGGTGCTACTAAAGCTTCGTCTCGTTGAAGAATCAAATGCTTAACTGTGTGGCTTTGTGGAAGATGCGTAAATGCAATGATGCTTGAAGTCATCTCTTCTGCCTAGCCCACAAATATTTTGTACTATTATTTTGGAAAGTCAAGCAAGTATAGGAAATTGACCAGAACACAACTGTGGAAATTTGATGCCAAGTTTGTAAAATAAAACTTTAAAGAGTGGCAAAAAGGAAGTTACCTGTTTATGGAGATAACTAGTTATGATGGATAAAATCAACACTGAGGAAAATTTAGCAGAACATTGAGCTCACCCTGTGATGGCCCACGTCTTATTCTGATGCTCCTCTTTGCCTTCTGTCGTCAAATCAACTGCTTAATCACATCTCTTCTGTGTATAGTTCTGTTTTCTAACTTACATTTTTACAGCTTAGAGTCAATGAGTACAGGTCTAGAGTTGAAATATGTGGTACTTAAAATTTATGTATTTGGTAACATAACAATACAAAATCATGATTTTTAATTAAAAAGTTAAGAAATTAATATGGGCTTAATATTAACTTTATTTTTATTATGATAATTTTTAAATTTGTGAAAAATTTGAAGGGATAATACAGGACATCTACATTACCATCTATATCCAAAATTGTTGACACTTTGCCAACCTGACAAATATATAGGCATATATATGTGAGTATATATGCCTGCATGGAGTGTTTATGGAGTTTCTTCAAAGTAAATTGTAACGATCACAATTCACCTCTATAGACCTTTCAAAGCTGGCATAGGAATGAAGATATTCTCCCAGTAACAGTGCAATTATTATTTCTAAGGAAGTAACAACAATACCCTTAGATCGTTTAATACCCCATATGTATTGAGATTTCCTATCGTTTTCTTGAAAGGTCTTTTAGAACTCTTATTTTTAACCATAACAGCAGATGAAAAAATTTAAGAGTACCATATAATATAAAAAGATACTAAATACAGAAATTATACCTAATAAAAGATGTGTACAACCTCTACAGAGAAAATTATAAAACAATGAGAGATGTTAAATAAATGGTAAATAAATGTAAGGTGTGTCATGAAAACCAAAAAAAACCCAAATCCAATTGGGACTTTCATCTTGTATTTTGATCAGTTAACTTGTTTTTTCAAGTTTTCAGAAAGTAAGTTTCTGTAAATTAGAAGTTACACTTGAATGCTTTATATCATTAAGGTTAAACATTTTTGGTAATAAACTGTCTCTACCTTGCCGTATCCATGAAATTACAGTAGACAGCATGAAATAACAGATTACTACACAATTAGTGAAGTTAATTTTGATCACTTGGTTAAGTTAATGGTAGCCAGATCTAATCTTCCTAGAGATGTGTTTTCCCCTTCGCATTTCCTGGTAATCTGCCTGGTGATAATTATCAAGAGGGGAAGGTATATTCCACAAGAAATTTCCACATAATGGTTGAGTGTATATCAATGATGTTTTAAGTTTTTGTATTGTATTATCATTTTATTATTGTATTTGCTCTTTCTTTGGGGCTTTAAAGCAGTTACTTTCAATTTTAACTACCAGGTTTTATTATTCTGACTTTACATTTTATTATGAAAAAAATCACTCACCAAGCCAAGAAAGGAAACAATTATTCCTCTCAGACATGCTAAAAGCTTAACTATTTCCCTTTAATTATTCATGTCCTAGAAAGAAATTACTGCAAAAATCACCATAAGTGGAGACAAATATTTTTGTTGTCTCTCTTCACCACTCATCACTATGAACCCATGAATTATTTTTGCTATAATTTATGATTGATTTTACTCATTATTGTTTTTGATGTTCAAATCTATATAAACATTACCAGTGAGATTCCTATAAAACTACTTCTTTTGTCTTTTAACCCTGCCCTCATGAGTCTTTGAAGAAATTCTTATTTTCTGGCACAATTTGATGTCTAAAGCTCAGAATCCTACCCTATAGCAGATCTGGAATTGGCCATGCGCACTTCTAGTGGTCAAATGTAGTTAGATACCGGATCTGGTTTATGGAGTTACTTGTGCTCAGAAATGACATTTCTATTTATACTTTTAGGAAACAGCAATATAAAATTTATTTTGATGAAAAAGGTCATTACTTAACAGTAATATTCTCAGTTCATCTTTGATGTTACATGCTATTTATTTACCTTCTTTAACTTCTAATCTTTTTTATATTAACATAGCTGTTTCATATTATCTGATGTTTTCCTATCTTGATCATCTGCAGGTGGAATGTCATCCTTATCTCAACCAGAGCAAACTGCTGGATTTCTGCAAGTCAAAAGACATTGTTCTGGTTGCCCATAGTGCTCTGGGAACCCAAAGACATGAAATATGGTAATAAAAGCAACAGAAAGTTTACCTGAAACACCATTTTGATGGAATATTTTAATTATATGATACTCTGTTTCCTGGAATTCACTCTCAGTGAGTCAGGGTAAGGGGAGAATTTGCATCTCTGACGAGATCCCAGGTGAGGCTGCTACTGTTGTTCAGGGACCTCACTTGAGGTCCGGTGTAGAATGAACGCGTTAGTCTGTTTAGGGAGCCTCCTACCAAACTGAATCCAGCCTCAGGACTTCAGCATTTCTGGCTTTCCTTCCAGGGTGGATCAGAACTCCCCAGTTCTTTTGGAGGACCCAGTTCTTTGTGCCTTGGCAAAAAAGCACAAGCGATCCCCAGCCCTGATTGCCCTGCGCTACCAGCTGCAGCGTGGGGTGGTGGTCCTGGCCAAGAGCTACAATGAGCAGCGGATCAGAGAGAACGTGCAGGTGAGGAGCGGGGCTGTGGGCATCAGGGCTCCTGCATGGTGTCCTTCACACATGTGCTTCTTGTAAGGCTCTCAGGACATCCTTGGACTAAGTCCATTTTCCAGGCATTTCCTATGCAGAAATGCTTTGTGTGCATCATAAGGGTTTTCTACTCCACCACAGGAGAGGCAGCATGGCTGGAGAGAATCAGGATACAACCAAAACCAGAGATTTGGGTTTCAGCATTAAGTTGGAAGTTTATTCTGCATCCCTGTGCTAGGGATATTTGCTTTTCTTCATTTTCTGAAATGAGGAGTTGAGTTAGGTATTCTCTAGTCTCCAAATCATTGCAGATGCTTTTTTTTTTCTCATGTCCTTATTTACTCAGTATAAATTTCATATATGCATTCTCTTAGAGTTTCCTTTGTAGCAGTGCCTGTTGACATCTTTGGGTATTTTTATTAGGTTGCTTGTCTTTTTCTATGTGTAGAAGACCACAATTATACTAATAAGTAGAGTTAGAAAAGAAAATCCCCTCAACATAGAGGTTTAACACAAAACCACAGATTTAGCTAACAATTCTATGATTCGAAATTTAGCCTAAGTTCTGCCTAAACTCAGTCCAGTCCTTTTGTTCCTGGCTGAGCTCTCATGTGTGTGCAGGGCAGTGAGGCAGTTTTGCTTCAGGGTGTCCATGGGGCATCTGTCTGGGCACCTCCCTCTCCTCCATGCAGTTCTTCATCCCCCAGTGATCCTGACCAGGCTTGACCTCAGCACAAGGCAGTGAGTGGACACATGCAAAGCCTTTCCAGGTCTAGGCTCAGAGTTGCCACACCATTTCTTCTGGAAAATTATATCAGCTAATACAAGTTATAGGACAGACCAGACTCAAGGGATTGGGAAACAGACACCACTTTTTATTAGGAGATGCTTAAAGTTCATATAATCAAGCAAGTGGATTCAGGGACATGGGAAGTATTGGAGGGCATCTTTCTAACTAATCTACCAAATATTTTATGATTTTATATATATATATATCTCCTGGATATTAATTCTTTAGAGATTTTGATGTATTGTTGAAATAACAACTCCCCAAATATACCTGAGTATTGATTCTTTTCATGTTTTTTTTTAACAAAATAAGTTTCTTAACTACTCTTAATGTAGTCAAATTCTTCATGCCTTTTTCTTATAGTTGATAAATATGATGTATTTTTCTATATTTAAAACATGATATTTTACTATATAATTATATAGTAAAATAGTATATATTACATATTAATATATAGTAAAATAATACACTATATTCTTTTAATATCTTATAAAATAATATATTTTCCTTATAAATTGAAATATTCAAATGGAATTGATTTTTTAATATTACACAAAATAAGAATGCAAATTTGCATATACATAACTTTTAATTGATAATAAAATGTCTTACAAACAATTATTGAAAAGTCCATATTTGCTCACATATCTTGATTATTCATCCTGTCATAAATAATGTCTGTAAGCACTTCTCTGGCATTTCTCCTCTTTTGAAGTGAGTTATTAACATTTCTGTATTGTCTAAATTATGTTGAATAGAAAGTTTTGCCACCAGAATGGCACAAGTATTTTTCTGACATATTCTCTTATATAAGAATGCCTTGGCTAGTCTTGAATGCGTGTTCTGTCATACAACATTCAGTATTATCAACTTCAACAAAAACGTTAATATTTTGGTCTTTGGCTGCAATTGCTATGAAACTTCAGATCGATTTGGCAAGAACTGAGTTAATAACAATATTGCAATTTCTAATTAATGATTATAAGAATAATCATTTAAGTGATATTTTAATATACACTTCAATTAGTTACATACATTACTTTAGTAAGGCCTTTGTGTATGCTTTCCTAGATTCATTCATAGATAACTTATTTTTAATAGCCTTTGGATAATTTTTTCCTTTAAGAATTTTCTAATTTATGAAAATGTCCTAAGAATAATCACAATAAATGCCTCTTCCCTAGATTCATCAATTGTTAAATTGATGATGTTTTTATTCTCTCTCTACCTCTCATTCTCTGTATTGTTATTTCAGAGTATTCCAATACATTTATTAAGTTATTTAGTGTTATATGTTAACAATTAGTGTCATCTTTTTGATATTTAAATTATCTCTGAGTAGTGAGATCCTCTTCAAGCAAGTAGTTGTGTTCTTTAAACATGACATTATTAGTATTTGGACAATTACTGTCTTGAATTTTTGGAAAACTATTTTTTTTTACATTGTACTTGTCCATTGAAGATGGAGATGGAAATACAGATGAATATATTTGGATTTCAGTATTTCGATATCTGATGTGAAACTGCACAACACTGCAGAGAAGGAGAAGCTCTCAACAGAAACTGAAGATGGAAAGAAGTTGACCTTGTGTGCACATAACTGGTTCATGTACTTAGAAGATTCAGAAGAATCTGGAGGGAAATTTGAAACTTATAATTTTTTTCTAATTTATTTTATTTATTTATTTTTTTGAGACAGAGTCTCACTCTGTCACCCAGGCTGGAATGCAATGGCATGCTCTCAGCTCACTGCAATCTCCACTTCCTGAGTTCAAGCAATTCTCCTGTCTCAGCCTCCCGAGTAGCTGGGACTACAGGCATGTGCCACCATGCTCAGCTAATATTTTTTTTTTAGTAGAGATGGGGTTTCACTGTGTTAGCCAGGGTGGTCTCGATCTCCTGACCTCATGATCCTCCTGCCTCAGCCTCCCAAAGTGCTGGGATTACAGGTGTGAGCCACCATACCCGGCTCTGTTTAAAATTTAAAACAGTTTGAATTTAAATTTAAACTGTTTAAAAAGTTTGATGGTGATACAATTTAGATATTTGTCCCCTCCTAATCTCATGTTGAAATGGGATCCTCAGTGATGAAAGTAAGGCCTGGTGGGAGTTGTTTGTGTGACGTGGACAGATACAGAAATACAGAGTCCAACAATATTCCTCTGCGTTAGTCTGTTTTGTGCTGCTGTAAAGGGATACTTCATACTGGGTAGTTTATACACAAAAGAGGTATCTTTGGCTCACAATTTGCAGGCTGTACAAAAAGCTTAGCACCAGCATCTCATTCTGGAGAGGTTTCAGGAAGCTTTAACTTCCAATTTAAGTCATTCCTTGCTCCCATATCTGATCACAGGCCACACTACTTCTTGAATGCTTTGCTGCTTAGAAATTTCTCCCACCAGATACCCTAAGTTATCACTCTTAAGTTCAGACTTCCTCAGTGTTTTCAGACATGAACACAATGCAGCCAAGTTCTTTCCTAAGGTATAATAAGGGTAATCTTTGTTCCAGTTTCTAGTAAGTTTCTTATTTTGATCTAAGACCTTGTTAGCTTAGACTTAATGGTCCATATTTTTAGCAGCATTTTGGTCACAATCACTTAGCCAATGCCTAACAAGTCCCAACCTATTCCTTATCTTCGCGTGTCTTTTTCTGAGCCCTCCAGATGCTTCCAAACTGTGCTCTTTACTTAGTTCTAAAGCCACTGTCACATTTTCAGGGTTTTTTTGTTTTGTTTTGTTTTTTTACCAGCGTCCTACTCCGGGTACCAATTTTCTGTATTGGTCCATTTTGAACTGCTATAAAGAAATACCTGAGCCTGAATAAAATATACAGAAAGAAGGTTCACTTGGCTTACCATTTTCCAGACTGCATAAAAAACATGGCACCTGCATTTGGTTCTGGTGAGGCCTCCGGAAGCATTTGCTCAGGGTAGACGGTGACAGAGGAGCAAGCACATCAAGCAGCAAGAGTGGGAGCAAGAGAGAAAAAGAAGAGAGACATGTCAGACTCTTTTATACCAGATTTCATGTAAACTAGTACAGTGAACCCTCAGCCATGACCATGGTTAGGCTGCCCAGCCATTCATGAGGGATGTCCCCATGACATAAACACCTCCTACCACACCCACTTCCATCACTGGGGATCATGTTTCAATATGAGATTAGGAGGGGACAAATACCCAAATTGTATCACCGTCAAACTGTCTAAATTATAAGTTTCAAAATTTCCCTCTAGATTCTTCTGAATCTTCCTAAATACATGAACCAATCACATGCAACACAAGGTCAACTTCATTTCATCTCTAGTTTCTGTTGAGATCTTCTCTTTCTCTGCAGTGTTGTACAGTTTTAATGTATAATACCTAGAAATAGATTTATGTTTATTGTTTACCTGATATTCTTTAATCACTTGAGAGTTTAGAATGCCTTTTATAACTTTTGGAAACCTAACAAATATTTTAAGTATTGCCTTTCCACCCTACTGTCTAATATACCTGGCTATTTCAAATTGACAATTGTGCAATCTAACAACAATAAAAGTTTTCTGCTTCTTTGATAGGTTTCTGAATTCCAGCTGTCTTCAGCAGATATGAAAGTTCTAGATGGCTTAAACAGAAATTTTCGATATGTTGCCTTAGATTAGTAAGTAACTTTGGTAAATGGGTTGGCTAATTCATTTTTGGAAGAGAAATGTCAGATGGCTTTTAAATGTTACCTCAATATTATCAAGACAGAGGCCAGTATGCGTGAAGGGTGAGACAGGAGCTTTCTGGAATTCTTCTCCTGGATTCACTCCAGAGCTCTGTTCTCTGACAGGGTGAGTGGGCCCAGGGTCAGCATGGGTCAACCTATGCCTCTGCTCTCTTGAATTCATGAAACTTTCCTGAGCAGCCAATATTATTGCTGAGTCTGTGCCTTTTATGTAGGACTGACATTTTGCTATGGCCTAGTGGACAAACTGTGGATATTGCCCATGTGGCCTGATTAGATGTTCTTCCAAATCAGCTCAGTTCTTTATCAGATAAAAACATTTCAATCAATCTTGAGATTCATGCCAGAAATTCTCATGTCTTCCATATGGATTTGCTCACAAGATCATGTCAATATGAAATCTTTAATCATTTCAAATCTCTTTCTCTCTTCTCTTTAGACATTTGCTCATGACCCAAAAACTGTATTTTGCCTCCAGAAAGTTTCCCTTGGTGGGCAATAGAACTCTTGGCTTTGAGTTTTTGCAATATGGAAATCTCAATGCAAAGTATAAAGAACTTTTAGGGAAGAGAGATTAGAAATCAAGGGAAGAGTTGGAGACTAAAGCTCCATTTTGGAGATAATGTATAGTTGACAAAAGATCTTACTCTTTCTACATGCTCCAAGCTTCTAGGATTCACAGAAAGGCAATTCATGTGATAAGGACAAAACAAGTCATGTCACTGCTTGCAGTGGAGATATTAACAGGTAATAGACATGATGAGAGAATGTATTAAAAAGCATAGGCACAGCAGCACATCGTAAGAACTCAAACATTTTTAGATATATCATTGTTTATATTTTTATTAGTTTAGAGAAAAATAAAAATGAAATAAGAAATCATGAAAAGGAAAGGAAGAGGAGTAAACATAGGTAATTATCATCATCAATTAATTATTTAACATTAACAATTGGTTTATTCATCATCTTTCATCACTGTATTTTGTGTGATTTCCACTTGAAGATTGTCCTTAGCATATTGTAGAATTTAGGATATGGACCCCCATAGCATATATGACAATTTACATATCTGAATCAAAGAAAATATTTTCCATATGGTAAGCAGCCAATCAGTAAAGAATGAATCTTTTATTCTGTAGCATAATGTAAGAGGCAAACAACAACAACAAAAGAATACATCTTTTAAAAGGATGTGTGATTGCCACCAATCACATTTAACAGTCAAACTTCTTAATAAGGATGAACATATAGCTGGCTTGCTTTTATTCAGAATAACACAGAATGAGTTCCTGTTTTCATTGATAATTTGAAATAGAAATAACATTTAACACTCAAAATTTTTTATAGGATGAACATATAGCTGGCTTGCTTCTATTCACAATAATGCAGAATGAGTTCCTGTTTTCATTGAGAATTTGAAATAGAAAAGGTCAGAATATCTCTTTGCTCTGTTGACAGATATGGAGGAATATGTTTGAACAATTGACCCTGTGTAGTTTATGTGACAAATTCCAGGAAAGAGAATATAATTTGAATAATATATTATTTTGGAAAAAACTCATAAAGTTATGTTTATAAAAGTAAGAAAGATTCTATAACTAGTCAGAAAATAAACTTCTTAACGTTCACACTAAATGAGTTTCATAGAAATCACTTCACTACCACTGTAGTAATAGAGTCATTTCATATTATGTACTATTTTTTCTCTTTTCAGTCTTGCAGGCCACCCTAATTATCCATTTTCAGATGAATATTAACATGGAGGGCTTTGCATGACATCTAGCAGAAGGCTGCCTGTGGATGGTGATGCAGAGAACGTCTCTATGCTGGTGACTGGACATACCACCTCTGTCTAAATCCATCCTGCTTAGCAACTTCAGTTAGCTAGAAGATATAAATCCATAGACCAGAAAGTAAAGACAGTAAATTTTTATCATCTTCAAATAATTGAATGTTTTTCCTAAAGATTTTTTTCCTACTCCTTTCTCTGTTACTTGTATGTTTCTTTTCCTTTTGGTTCATGAGGGCCAAAAAATGCAATTTGCCTGTAAGTTTGGTGCAGGGAGTGTATGATGATAACGACCATTGTATAGACATTTCTGATGTGAGGGTGGGTGGAGTTTTCCTCCCCAGGTTCCTGGAGCTCTGATTCTTGTGATGCTGGAAGTTCATCCTGTCAATATTGCTCACCTTCCAGACTCTATGCTGTTTGTTTTCTCCTTTCTAAAAGAGCTAAACACAGACTAGCTGATAAATACCTGTCACTTGCTCCTCCTCTAGATGTAGAAAATAAAATTTCAGGCCAATATCCCTGATGAATATAGACCAAGACATCCTCAATAAAATACCAGCAAATTTGAATCCAGCAGCACAACAAAAAGGTCATCCACCGTGACAAACTAGGCTTTATTCCCAGGATGCAAGTTTAGTTCAATATACATAAATCATTAAATGTGATTCATCACATATGCAGAACTAAAAACAAAACCCAATGGTTATCTCAGTAGATGCAGAAAAGCCTTACAATAAAATTCAACATCTCTCTATATTAAACACCTTCAACAAACAAAGCATCGCAGGAACATGCCTCAACAAAATAAGAGCCATCTATGACAAACCCACAGCCAACATCACAATGAATTGGTAAAAACTAGAAGCATTCCTCATAAGAACCAGAACAAGACAAGGAAGTCTTCTCTCACCATGCCTATGATACTGAAAATCTTAGCCAGAGCAAGCCTGCAAGAGAAAAAAACAAAAGGCATCCATGTGGGAAGAGAGGAAGGAAGGCAAGCCATCTGTATTAACAGATGATAGATATGATTCTATACCAAGAAAATCCATCTCTGCCCAAAGTTTCTGAAACTGATAAACAACTTTCATATAGTTTCAATATACAAAATCAACAAAATCAAGCAGTTCAAAATCAATCAAGTACAAAAATCAGTAGCAGTTCTATACACAATGTCCAAGCCGAGAGCTAAGTCAAGAATGCAATCTGGCCAGAGGCAGTGGCTCAAAGTTCTAATCCCAGCATTTTGGGAGGCCAGTGGAGGCAGATCGCTTGAATCCAGTAGTTTAAGACCAGCCTGGGCAACATGGCAAAACCCTGGCTTTACAAAAATATTTAAAAAACAGCCAAGCACGGTAATGCAGGCCTATAGTCCCACCTTCGTGGGAGGCTGAGGCGGGCGAATCACTTGAACATGGAAGGCAGAGGTTGCAGTGAGCTGAGATTGCACCACTGCTGCACTCTAGCCTAGGCAACAGAGAGAGACACCAGCTCAGAATAAAAAAAAAATACAATGTTTTTCACAATAGCCACAAAATATCCAGGGATATAGCTAACCAGGGAACTGAAAGAGCTCTGATAAGAATTAACAAACACAGCTGAAAGAAATTAGAGATGACACAAACAAATGGAAAAAAATCCCAGCTCATGGATAGGAAGATTCAATATTGTTAAAATGACAATACCCAAAGCAATTTACAGATTTAATGCTATTTCTGCCAAACCATCAACACTATTTTAAAAGAATTAGAAAAAAAAAACTATTCTAAAATTTATATGGAACAACAACAAAAAAAGGGCCTGAATACCCAAGGAACCCCAAGAGGGGGAGAAAAATGAACCCAGAGGCATCACACTACCCAACTTCAATCTATACTACAAGGCTACTGTAACCAGCACAGCATGGTATTGGTATAGAAACAGACATATAGACTAATGGAATAGGTTACAGAATCCAGAAATAAAGCTGTACATCTACAACCATCTGATCTTCAACAAAGTTGAAAATACCAAGCAGTGGGGAAAGGACTCCCTATTCAAAAAATGGTGCTGGGATAACTGGTTAGCCATATTCAAAAGAGTGAAACTTGACTCCTTTCTTACAAAAATCAATTCAAGATAGATTAAAGACTTAAATATAAGACCCAAAACCATACAAAGTCCAGAAGAAATCCTAAGACATAGCATTCTGGACATAGGCCTTGGCAAAATTTAATGATGAACCCTCCAAAAGTAATTGTAACAAAAATTAAAATAGACAAGTGAGACTTAATTAAACTAAAGAGCTTATGTACAGCAAAAGAAACTTTCAACAGAGTAAACAGACAACCTGCAGAAAGTGAAAAAATGTTTGCAAACTATTTTTGAGCTTTGGGAGGCATAGGTGGGAGAACTGTAAATGGGAATTTAGGTTGATTTCATGTCTCTGGGAGTATGAATAGTGCTACAATGGCTGCATGAAATCAACCTAAATTCCCATTTACATTCGCCCACCTCAGCCTCCCGAGAAGCTGGGACTATAGGCCGGCATTACCATGCTTGGCTATTTTTAAAATATTTTTGTAAAGCCAGGGTTTTGCCATGTCTCCTAGGCTGGTCTTGAACTACTGGACTCAAAAATAGTTTGACAAAGGTCTAATATCCAGCATCTGACAAAGGTCTAATATCCAGAATCTGTAATAAACTTAAGCCAGAAAATATCAGATGTTGGCAAAGTTACGGAGAAAAGAGAATACTTCTACAATGCTGGTGGGAATGTAAATTAGTTCAGCCACTGTGGGAAGCAGCCTGGTGATTTCTCAAATAACTTAAAACAGAGCTACCGTTTAACCCAGGAATCCCAGTACTTGATATGTACCCAAAGGAATATAAATTGTTTTACCAAAAAGACACATGCACATATGTGTTCATTGCAGCACTATTCATACTCACAGAGATGTGGAATCAACTGAAATTCCCATTTACAGTGGACTGAATAAAGAAAATTTGGCACATATACACCAAGAAATACTACACATTCATAAAACAGAATGAAATAATGTCCTCTACAGCAACGGGAATGCATCTGGAAGCCATTATCTTCAGCAAATTAACACAGGAACAGAAGATCAAATATTACACATTCTCACTCATAAGTGGGAGCCAAACATTTAGTACATATCGACATAAAAGGAGGAATAATACTCAGTGGGTTCTCTTTAGGGCAGTTGGTAGAAGGAGGTCAAGGGTCAAAAAATTACCTAGCAAATACTATGCTCCATAAATGGGTGACAAAAATCATTTGTCCACCAAACCCCAGTGACACACAGTTTACCCAGATAACAAAACTTCACATGTATACCGTGAACCTAAAATAAAAGTTGAAAAAGAAATATTAATTTATTGTATCTGTATGCCAAATGATGGGATTCAAAAGTATTTCAGGAGGTGCATAAGAAAACTGATCAATCTGAAATAAATAGTACACATACTGATGTAGTATTACATATTCCTTCAAAGCATTATTTAAATTTGCATGCGGTTATTGGCTCATTTATTCTTGTGCATCTGGTCTTGGAAAGCTGCAGGTGGAATGTCACCCGTAGTTCCCCCAGAGCAAACACCTGCACTTTTGCAAGTCCAAAGGCTCTGTTTGAGTTGCCTCCAGGGCCCTGGTGTCCCACAGATAAGCAAGTGGTAACAAGAACATCAGAGTTAGCCCATGGCAGGGATTCTACTGATGACGAAAAATTCTTATTAAAATTAAGTTTTTAAATTCTATGACGAACGAAGTCAAAAAAGTAAAAACAATATTATAGTTGGTTTTCATGAAACACCACTGAGCTTCAGTGTCTCCTGCATTCTTTCCCTCCTGTGGCATCTACACATCTGTCTACTCCCAACCCCACTCCAACTATAATATTTAAAGTGATTTTAATGTAAAATTTGCATCAGCTGTAATGCTGTGCAATTTTGACAGATGGATGTACTATATAACCCACATCCCTAACATGCTAAAGAATCTTTCCCTCTTTGTCTTTCTTCTTTCTTTTTCTTTCCTTTCTTTCTTTTCTTTCTTCCTTTTTCTTTCTTTTCTTTTTTTCTCTCTTTCTTTCTTTCCTTCTTTCATTTTCTTTCTTTCTTTCTCTTTCTTCCCTTTCTTTCTCTTCCTTCCTTCCTTCCTTCCTTCCTTCCTTCCTTTCTTTCTTTCTTTCTTTTTTCTTTTCTTTTCTTTTCTTTTCTTTTCTTTTCTTTCTTTTCTTTTCTTTTCTTTTCTTTCCTTCTTTCTTTCTTCTTTCCTTTCTCTTTCTTTCCCTCCCTCCCTCCCTTCCTTCCTTCCTTCCTTCCTTCCTTCCTTCCTTCCTTCCTTCCTTCCTTCCTTTTTTGAGTAGGTGTCTCACTCTGTTACTCAGACTAGAGTACGGTACCACAATCACAGCTCACTGCAGCCTCGACGTTTCAGACTCACATAATCCTCCTGCCTCAGCCTCCCAAGTAGCTGGGGCCACAAGTACATGCTGCCACACCTCGCTGATTTTTATTTTATTTGTTGTAGAAATGGATCTTACTATGTTGGAAACCTTCCGTCACTCAAAAAAGTTATTTTTTCGTTTCTTCTGAGAAGACAACTCTTTACTTCTAGGTGGCTATTTTTAAAAAAATCTTAGTTTTGTTTGCTCTAAAATTTTATGTGAAAAACTTAATGCATATTATATTTAATCAGGCTTCTTTTGCTCACCGTGTTTGTGAGATACATTCGTGTAATTGCAATATCTGTAGTTTTTTCGTTTTATTGCTGGTAATATTTCATTATATGGACAACTGTACTACAAATTGTGCATCCATTCACCTGTTGATGGACAATTTACTTGTTCCCAGTTTGCTGCAATTGTGAATAACTTTCTACGAATATTGATTAAACTTTATAATCTTACTACATTGTACCAGTTCCTCTCAATTCTCCACAGAGGTTCAGGAAAAGGGACAGCAGAATCTACATTTTCCATCCTACATCCTTTCTATCTGTGTGTATGTATGTGTGTGGCTGTATTTTTCAGGCTACATTGTGACAGTCCACATCTCTTTCAGGAGCCAATCTTGAAAGCCATTGCCAAGAAATGCAGTCGAAGCCCAGATCAGGTCACCCAGCTCAGCGGCGTTGTTGGTTCTGGCCAAGAGCTTCTCTGAGAAGAGAATGCAAGATGACCTTCAGGTATGGGTCCAGTAATGTTTCTTCAGAGTGTGCCGTGGGTGCTGTCTTGGTGATCTCTCTTGCATGGGAGCATACACTGTATTCCATTCATTCTCATGCTTCTCTCCCCTGTGTGCTAGGGATGGGGGCAGCTTGGAAGGGTGAGAAGAGAGAGCACTGGACTCAGAGTCCTAAGGTTTGTCACCTCTGTGCTTTGCTTTGCCACTTACTAGGTATGTGACACTAAGCAAATTTCAACTCTGTTATTTTAATCAATTTTAGGAGTTCTTCTACATGGTAATAAATTTAAGGGCCCTGGGTTCTCCCATTTACCTTCTCTGCCCAACAAACTCCTATTTGTATTTTAAGATCAAACCCAAATAAGATAAGCTGCTTTGTTTAACCACTCAAACCACCCACCATATTTTTTCACCATTATAATACATGGAACAGCTCTGCTTAGTGAGATTTTTTTTTTCTTATTAATTGCCCACTGTTTGCTAATATGTCAGTGTGCTCCCTGGATGGTGAGACCCTAAATGCAGTGACTCTTTCTGGGTCATCTTTTATCACCTTTCCCTTAGCAGAGAGGAAACCAGGTATAAGTTCATAGCTTTACCAAATTAACATATACAATGAGTAAAGTTATTTCCTAAACCTCTCCCCATATACACTCTGGGCCTTATATTAATCACAGGTCTCCAACTAATTTTGTTTTGAATCCCACAAGAATTTTGAAAAACCATGTAAGCTATTTTTCATTTTGAGATGACAGCTACAAATTTTATTGTGAGCATATTTACAAAATATGACATTTGAGACATATTATTTGTAATGTATTTACTTCAAAACATTTTAGTTATAGATCAAGTATATTCATTTGTGGAAAAATTCAATTGGCAAATCTAAATCTCATTGTTAAACCACACAGATTACATTTTATTTTTCAATTAAACACATGTTAATACCTGCTCCCATGACAACCATATAACTTCTGAAGTACATTATTTAAAGGAATAATGGATAAACTGGTGGGTGGATATATAGAAAATAGACATATATATAGAGAAAAAGATGATGATGATAGTAGATGGAAGGATGGATGATAGATAGATAGATAGATAATAGGCAGATTATCTTAGCCTTTCATGAAATTGTCTTCTGGACCACATAATGAACTTAGTACTTTTTACCAAAGATATCTCTGTTTTGCTATTAAAGGACTTCCCATTAGGGGCTGCTCCCATGACAACCATATCACTTCTGAAACACATTTTAAAAAAGAATAATGGATAAATTGGTGGGTAGATAGATAGAAAATGAACAGATATGTATAGAGAGAAATACAGAAATAGATGATGATAATGGATGGATAGATAGATAGATGATACATAGGCAGATGATATGAGTCTTTCATGATTGTCTCCTGGATCACATAATAAACTTAGCATTTTTTTTTTTAACCAAATGTCTCTCTGTTTTGCTATGAAAGGACTTCCCATCAGGGGCTATGTGTTGACAAGTGAAAACCAACTTAGACTTGAGTAAGAGAAATTTATTCAAAGGGTGGAACTCTGAGCATAACATCTATGTATCTCAAAGATCGATCAGAAAGCATTCTTTATAAAGGACAAGCAAACAGAGCTGCAAACAGACAGTATTTAGGGGTTCTGAGGTGAGCAAGTAGAAGAGTTGATCAGGAAATGCTTTTTATGGGGCAGATTACTGAGTGGGATTTTCCTGTTGTCCAAGGCTTGTTCAGTGTAAGCCTATGACTGGATCGAGTTCCAGGGGCAGTGGGGAAACAAGAGCCTGACCAAGTGTGGTCAAGTCCAGGTGGTAGGTATTGTGTCCACACTTTCTTTTCTATTTTAAAACAAGTGATTTCTTTTTTCTGTCTCAAGCAATTCTCTAGAAATATTTTAGATTGATGAGTGTACACTTTCCTTTTGAGAACTGGTGTGGAGTAGAAGAGGGGTGGGATGGAGAAGAGGCAGCGCTCAGGTGGAAGAGCTTCCAGGCCAGGCGCACCTGGAAACATGAGGATGGAAATGTCTCACTAATGCCATCCTTGCCTGTCTCCTGCGAAGTCCTTGGATTCCCAGGTGGAAGCTGCTGTCCTGGGGAAAGGTTAATGTGAGTATTGCCTGCCTTTCAGGTTTTTGACTCTGAGCTGACTCCAGAGGACGTAAAAGCCATTGATGGCCTCAACAGAAATCTCCAACATGCTAAGTTACAATTGTGATACTTGCAGATTCTTCACAGACTGTTTTCTGTAGCACACACAGAAACAGAGGAACATCTTCCCTACATCAGGAAGACAGTCCTGAATTCAGGCATGGGATGAAACAGGAAATTTGCTGTAGCCCTCAGAACATAGGTTTCCTCCAGGGCTCGATTTCTGACTCAACAGAAAGTCCATCTGTAAGTAACACTGCCTATGTCTGCTCTATTGTGAATCCACTTTTTTTTTAATGCCCTCACTACCAGTGCCTGGGTCCTATACTTTGGGCCCATTTACCCATTAGACTAGAAGGCACAAGCCTGTCTTAATTTATGTGAAAAAAGAAGAAAAATTAACACAATAATAACAAATACGTAATAATGACTCAAACCTGGTCTATCTTCATGTCCCCGCCCCAGCAGAAGTCTCCATGTGGTTCCTGCCTAGTGGAGACGTGGGAGCAGGACCATAGCCCTCCAGACCCCAGAATCACAGAGTCTTCGCAGCTTGAAACTTCTGCCTGGAAAAGCCACAGGCAATGAATTCCAATTTGTGAAAGCAGCCACATGGGCTGTGCTCAGCAAAGGCAGGGGAACAGGGCTTCCCAGATGCTTGAGAGCTGACCCCTTGCACCAGGTGCCCAGGATGCAGGACATAAAGTCAATGGAAATTATCTTGGAGCTTTAAGGTTTGATGTCTGCCTTGCTGGAATTCTGATTTCCATGAGTCCTGTTTCTCTGTCCCTACTCCTGCCTTTTTTTGATTACCTTCCTTTTTGAAAAAGGAATGTTTACCCACAGCTGATAGCACGGTTGTACTTTGAAAGTAAATAACTTGTTTTTGACTTCATAGGCTCATAACTAGCAGGAAGTTGCCTTGAGTCTGATAGGAATTTTTGTACTTTGGAATTTTAAGTTGGTGCTGGACCAAGTTACAACTTTTGGGAAATACTGGGATGAAATAATTACATTTTGCATGTGAGAAGAACATGAATTTATGGATTGGGGGCTGAATGCCATAGCTGGCATATGTGACCCTCCCAACCATATGCTGAATTCTCAATGTAGGAGGCGAGGCCTAGTGAAGTCATTATGGTCATGGGGGCAGATTTCTCATGAATGACTTGGTGCTCTCCCTATAGTAACAAGTGAATTCTGGCTTTATTACTTTTTTGATTGCTGCTTGTTAAGAAGGGCCTAGCACCTTACTTTGCTCTCTCACTCTGTGACCTCAGCACATGCTGGCTTTCCTTTCCCTTCTGCCATGAGTGGAAGCAGCCTGAAGCCCTCACCAAAGGCCTAATAGACGCCAGTGCCATGCCTCCCGAACAGCCAGCAGACTGTGAGCCAATAAACCTCTTCTTTATAAACACTCAGCTTCAGGTATTCCTTTATAGCAACACAAATGGACTAAGTCTAATTTCTCCACACATCTAGAACCAGCATGTCCTGAGTGAATGATCTTAATACCTGATAATCACAGACATACCATTTGTGACAAAGCTTTCCAAATTGGAGACAACCTGTAGGGTATCAATCCCACCCCAGGTCCTGGCTTGCTTCAGGGGTCCTTAATTGGGGTGGATATGTTTCTTCTCATATCTCCATGAGCCAGTATTTTCTATAGTTGAAGACCAGCCTGGAGCCATATGTATAAATAAGTCTTGCTATCCGAGGGCAGCTCAAGTCAGCTCCCTCATTGTTTGCTCCACAGCAAGGTAAGGAAGAGTATGCATGGAATACCGGAGATCCATCAGGACGTCACCTAGTAATATCATGCCCTGTGATTAAGATCAGTGGGAAACTACACCAGCCCAATCCAGGCAGGACTACAAGTGACCCAGGGCTTTCAAGAATAAAGGTTTGGGTCACTCCATCAGGGGAAAAAAAAAAAAAAAAAAGTCCTGCTGAGGTGCTTGCATATCAGGTATACATGGACATATCTGATACGCAAGAACATAACGATGGGTAGAAGAAGGTAGTCATCAATACCAGCTATGACCATGTGACCAGCTGCAGAATCCAGGACCGTGTCATGAGTGTTTCCTCCTTCTTTTGTTAAAAACGTATTTGTGCATGTATACACTTGTACTAAGAAAATATCTTCATTTTATTTCCTTTCTCCTTTATCATGTGACGTAAGAGTTATTGACTTCACATCAGCATTTTTGTTAACTTTATATAACTTTATAGTATTTGGGGTGGGAATTGGTGCCTTTCCCATTGTAGGAAGGACCATTGTATTATGTTAGGTGTAATTATGACCTTATTATTGTAATTATTTGAATATCACGTATGATCTCAGGTGATGTGTAGGGGTTTAAGTTGACAAAGGGTGGACTTGTGATGGTTAATTCTGAATGTCAACTTGATTGGATTGAAGGATACAAAGTATGGATCCTCGGTGTGTCTCTGAGGGTGTGGCGAAAATAAATTAACACTTGAGTCAGTGGCTGGGAAAGGCAGAGCCACCATTAATCTGGGTGGGCCAATCTAATCAGCTGTCAGCATGGCTAGAGTATAAACAGGCAGAAAAACGTGAAAGGAGAGACTGGCCTAGACTTGCAGTCTATATCTTTCTCTTGTGCTGGATGCTTCCTGCCCTGGAATGTCGTACTCCAGGTTCTTCAATTTTGGAACTTGGACTGGCTCTCCTTGCTTCTCAGCCTGCAGATGGGGTATTGTAGGACCTTGTGATCATGTGGATTCATGCTCAGTAAACTCATATATATATATATATGAGTCCATGCTGTGTGTTTTTCCTAAAAGAATATGAGTCATACACACACACACACACACACACACACACACACACACACACACACACACATATGAGTCCCTGCTATGTGTATTTTTCCTGAAAGAGCTAGACAGGCACTAACTGATCAACATCTGTCAATTGCTCCTTCTCTAGAGGCTGAAAACTCTGCTGCAGTCACACTACAGTCCCTACAGTAATGTCTATAAACAGTTATCATTCCCACACTCCTACTAACTTATAGGCAAATTAGTTTTTGGCCCTATTGAGCCAGAAGAAACACACACACACACACACACACACACACGCACACACATACACACACACACACTTAACAGAGAACAGAGAACAGAGTAGGTAAAGAATCTTTGTGAAAACATTCAATTATTTCAAAATGATGAATATTTATTGTCTTTCTAGCCTGTGGACTTAGCTCTAGTTGACGGAAGCTGCTAAGCAGGATGGTTTTAAGTAGAGGGGATGTGTCTAGTCACTGGCATAGAGACGTCCTCTGCGTCAGCATTCACACACAGGGTTTCTGGTAGACATCAGGCAAAGCCCTCCATGTTAATATTCATCAGCAAATGGATAATTAGGGTGGCTAGCAAGACTGAAAAGAGAAAGAATAATGTAAAATATGAATGCAAGGACTCCATTACTAACAGAGTAGTAAAATGATTTCTAGGAAGCTGCCATTGGTGGGAATACTAAGAAGTTTGTTTTCTGATTGATATAGAATCTGACTTCCTCACCATTATGAACATGGCTTTATAATATCTGTTTTTTCAAAATAATAAATTATTCAAACATATTCCCTTACCTGGAAGTTAACACATAAAACACATAAGTCAAATATTCAAACATATTCCTGTACATCTGCCAGCAGAGCAAAGTGATATTCTGACCTTTTCTGTTTCCAATCTTTTGCCTTACTCTGAAGAGGAGTAAGCAAGATGTATGCTTATCACTAATAAACAATTTTGAGTGTCAATCAATTTTATTAGCTATTTTAATTTCTTTTGTTACTTTACTTATTACCTACTGCTGCCTACTGTATGTAATATATTTTGTAAGATTCAGAAATGTAAATTGTAATTGATATAGGATCTAATATCCAATGAACTACAATGCATTAAAATATTCTTATGTAGAAATAACATAAAATATAAAGGGACAGGTAAATTCTGGCTTATTATTACATTTTTATTTTTATTTTTTTTGAGACAGAGTCTTGCTCTGTCATGCAGGCTGAAGTGCAGTGGCACAATCTTGGCTCACTGCAATCTCTGCCTCCCGGGTTCAAGTGATTCTTCTGCTTCAGCCTCCTGAGTAGCTGAGACTATAGGCACATGCCACCACACCCATCTAATTTTTGTATTTTTAATAGAGATGGGGTTTCACCATATTGGCCAGGCTAGTCTTGAACTCTTGACCTCGTGACCCACTCGCCTCAGCCTCCCAAAGTGCTGGGATTACAAGTTTGAGACATTGCGCCTGGCCAAAATTTTTAATTGATGATAAGAATTACTGATGCATGCTATTCTTCCTTTCTTTTTTTGGCTTCCTTTTTTTATTCTTTATTTTCCTCTAACTTAGTTAACAGTGATATCCACCAATTTTTAAGCACTTATGAAGGGCCACCGTGCTTACACTTTTTCACACACCATCTCATCCTATCACTTGTTAAAATCTCCACTGCCAGCAGTTACGTAACTTTCTGCTTTTCCCTCATTATATGAGTGACCGTTTATGACTCCTAGAACCTTAGACCATGAAGAAATAATAAAGATCTTTTATTGGCTACAAATTATATACAACAATGGGCTTCTGCCTCCACACTCTTTCTTTCCTTTTTTATTTTTTAATTCTCTGCATTGAGATCTCCACATGGCAGGAAATCAAGGACAAGTGCTTCTATTCACTGCACTAAGGCAGCCTTTCTAGAGGCAAATGCAGAGTTTGGGGCATGAACAAACATGCAAGGAAAAGAAGAAAAAGCATTTGAAATGCTAAAAGATGCTGGATTGATAGGATCTAGCAAGTGATTCTCTGTGAAGGAGGTAGGAATTGGCACCTGGACCACAGAGTTGATGGAAATGTTTTTGATTTGATAAGGAGCTGAGCAGGTCTGAGCGAGATACAGGCACAGATCTGGAAACATCTGGTGAGGCCACATGGGGAGTATCCACAGCATGTCCAGTGCTAGAAATGCCAGGCCTACATGGAAGGTGCAGACTTGGCAGTGCTGTTGGCTGCTCTGAAAAGTTCCATGGAGTCAGGAGAGCAGAGGCACAGCTGACCCTGGCCCACTCATCCTGCCAGAGAACAGAGCTCTGGAGTGAATCCAGCAGAGAGTTCCAGAAAGCTCCTCTCTCCCCTCTGACTCACACTGGCCTCTGTCCCACTGGTATGGTGGTCACTCTCAACACCCATTCTACATTCCTTCTCTGAAAATAAATTATGTCACCCATTTACAAAGAAAACTTACCCAACAGAGTTAAAATATCGGAGATTTCTGTCTAGGCTATCTATGGCTTTCATGTCCTCTGGAGTCAACTGGAATTCAAAAACCTATCACAAAAACAAAAGACTTTTCTTATTTTCAGATTGCATAATTGCCAATCCTGAATCCCCAAGTATAAGCAGAGATAAGACTTAAAATATTAATAAGTTTTCAACAGTTCTAGAAGTCATCTCTAAACACTCAGGCGGTCAATGATTATCACATGACAAGTAAGCAAAAATCCATTCATAGGTATTATATATTGAAACTGCACAACACTGCAGACAAAGTGAAAATCTCAACAGAAAAATGAAGAAGAAAAAGACACAGTGCACACGTGGTAGGATCACATACTTAGAAGACCCGCAAGAATCTAGATGCAAATTTTAAAATAATATAAAATCATATAGTAAGTTTGATAGATACTGTTGAATTTCTATATCTGTTTAATAAACAGGTATAATGCAAATAACATTTGTTTTCAACACAATTCATGGTGGGAATTGTCTTAATACTAACGTTTCATGTTTAAAGGAAACAGATACAGCCTTGAAAAGTATCTCACTCTAAATTTGAGAGACTTTAAATATCAAAGAGATGCCACTAATTGTTAACATGTTGAATTAAATAAATCTATAAATTGAATAAATCACTCTTCAATAGTGATACAGAGAATGAGAGAGAGAGGGAAAGAGCGAATAAAAAACATCAAGTTAACAATTAATGAATCTAGGTAAAAGGTGTTCATTGCATTTTTGAAACATTTCTATATATTAGAAAATCCACAAAACAAAAAAGGTAATCAAGAGATTCTAAGAATTTTCAGTATTCTATGGATAAATATTTAAAAATACATACGGTTTAAAGGAGAATGTTATACAATTAATGAAATATATATTAAAAGGTCATTTAAATAGTTGGAAATTCATTATGGGTTGGAAATGTCAATATTGTCAAAAAGTCAGTTATCTTCACATTTAGCAGCAGGTTTATTATAATATCAACCAAAAACTAAGATATGTACTTTTTACTGGATGTTGATGATTCAAAATTTCATATGACAGTCAAGAATAATCAAAATATTACCAAATAAAATGAAGAGTTGGAATAATAGATGTACAATTTTGGTAGCAAGACCTTTCATTATTTAGACAGAAAAGTAAATAAGTCAATTGAAGACAAAAGAGAGGCAAGAATATAATTTGTGAATGTTTCATTTATGGCAGAGGTAAAAAATCAAGATCTGTGAGCAAATGCAAACTCTTTTCAATAATTGTTAGTGGGATCCTTTGATATAAATGTAGAAATTCCATATGTGTGTTTGGATTTTTATTTCAAATAGTATTGAAAAAGAAATTTATTTGAATTTACAACTAATCCATAAGTAAAGAGAATTACCAATTTTGCAAGATAACATATGAAAAGATTGTCATGTTCCCAATATAAGAAAAGACATGCCACTCATCAACCACAGGAAGAGGCATGAATAATTTAACTACATGAAAAGTAGCAACCTTTGTTCTTGAAACATAACTGCAGAAAAAATCACAACACAGGTACAATTTCAGAGATGTTACTTCAAGAATACATCTGAATATCTAAAGAATATATTATATATATCTTATTAAACTATATGTATCAATCTATCATATATATTAACCTATCACCTCCAACACTCACATGTCCCTGTATCCACTTGCTTGGTTATATGAAGTTCCAGCTCCTTCCAATAAGAGCTGGTGTCTATTTACCCATCCCTTGAGTCTGACCTGTCCTGTAACTTGCATTTGTGGATAAGATTTGCCAGAAGCAATGGCATGACAGCTCTGAGCCTAGACACGAAAATGCTTTGCTTGTGTTTACTCACTGCCTTGGGATTATACCATGTGCTGAGGTAAAGTCTGGGCTGGATGGCTGGAAGATGAACTATATGGAGGAAAAGATGGCACCCAGAGAAATGTCCCATTGACATCTTGAAGCAGAGCTGTCTCGTTGTCCTGCAAACAAGTGAGAGAGCCCAGCCAAGAACAGAACTTGACTAAGTTCAGGCTGAGGCCATGCTAATTTTCTAACTAGAGAATCCTGAGTAAATAAGTGGTTTTCATCTTAAACCTCTATGTTGAGGGTGATTTGTTTAACAGCTCTATTTAATAGTATAATTATGGTCTCCTATATGTAAAAAAAAGACATGCAACCTAAAAAAATAGTCAAAGGCTTAAACAGGCAGAACACAAACAGAAAACTCCAAGTGAATAAATATATGACATTTTTACTGAGTGTACAAAGAGATAGAAATAAAAATCCTCAATGATTTGTAGACTAAAGAACACCTAATGCAACTCCTCATTTCAGAACATGAAGAAAAGGCCAGGAGTGGTGGCTCACCCTGAAATACCACTTTGGGAAGCCACAGCAGGTGGATCACCTGAGGTCAGGAGTTTGGAACCAGCCTGGCCAACATGGCGAAAAAACCTTTTTACTAAAAACTACAAAAATTAGCTGGGCGTGGTGGCAGACACCTGTAATCTCAGTTACATGAGAGGCTGAGGCAGGAGAATCATCCAACCTGGGCAAGAGAGAGAGTCTCCACCTCAAACAAAACCAAAATCAAACAAACAAAAATCACAACATGAAAAAGCCATGTCCCTGGTGCAGGGATGTGGAGCAGATTATCAACTTAATGCTGAAAGAATAAAAACCAATCTCTGGTCCCATCCTAATTCTCTCGGCCTGTGCTGCCCCTCCTGTGGTAGAGAAGAAGAAGCCCTTATGATGCACACAAAGCGTTCATATAGGGGAGGGGCGGTGGGGGGTGGGGAGCTGGGGAGAGATAGCAAGGGCAGAGATGCCAGATGTGGGTGATGGGGAGGAAGGCAGCAAATCACACTGCCACGTGTGTACCTATGCAACAATCTTGCATGTTCTTCACATGTACCCCAAAACCTAAAATACAATAAAATAAATAAAGGGGAAAAAAACATTATTTGGTTAGTTTATTCCTATTTTATAGTTTTCAAAGACAAAGACTACTTTTTTTTTGACTACTTGTTACTCTTTACATGTTAACAAAAATATTGAGAGGAAAATTATAAAAAGCAAACAGTAATTCCATCTTGAAGTATATTTTCAAAATGATGAATAACTGGAGTGAGACTTGCATTTTTCAAAGACCTTCTGGACTAAGGTTTCTTAAAATTTTTAATATCATAGATGCCTTGGAGAAGCTCCTGAAAGCTATAGGCCCTTTCCTTCAGGAAAATAGAGACGCCATATAAAAGCTCTCACCTGACATCCTTTTAAGAGACTTGACTAATAAAACTTTTTAAAAATTTATTATTAAAAAAAAAAAAAAGAAATGCCAGGGAAATGGAGCTGGCCCACGGGTGTCCTGAGAGCCTTACAAGAAGCACACCTCTGAAGGACACCGTGCAGGAGCCCTGATGCCCACAGCCCCGCTCCTCACCTGCACGTTCTCTCTGATCCGCTGCTCATTGTAGCTCTTGGCCAGGACCACAACCCCACGCTGCAGCTGGTATCGCAGGGCAATCAGGGCTGGGGTTCGCTTGTGCTTTTTTGCCAAGGCACAAAGAACTGGGTCCTCCAAAAGAACTGGGGAGTTCTGATCCACCCTGGGAAGAAAGGCAGAAATGCTGAAGCCCTGAGGCTGGGGATACAGTTTGTTAGGAGGCTCCCTAAACAGATTATGGCTTCTGCTTTGCACCGGAGCTTCTCAAGGGAGGTCCCCAAGCATCACCATCAGCATCGTCTGAGATGTTGACAGAAATGCAATTCTCGCCTCTCCATGAGCCACTTGAGAGTTAACTGCAGGAAACTGAGCATGCTCTGACAAAAAATTTTCTGCAATTTTGAGGTTTATGTAAAGGTCCCATCATTCTTATTACCATTGTTTGGGGCGTTGAGATCCCAGAGCACTATAGGCAACCAGAACAATATCTTTTGACTTGCAGAAATCCAGCAGTTTGCTCTGGTTTAAGTAAGGATGACATTCTACCTGCAGATGACCAAAATAGAAAAGCATCAGTTTATATGAATTACGTTAATTTAAAAAGATTAAAGTTAAAGAAGCTGAATAGTAATCAGTATAGCATCAAATTTGAGTTGAGGATATTATTGTCAAGTAATAATCTTTTTCATAGGAATAAATTTTATATTTCTATTTCCTAAAACTATAAATAGAAATGACATTTCTGAACAGAAGCTAGTCTATAAACCAGATCCTGGTAAAAAAAAAGACCTTTGATAACTAGAAGGAGATGTAATAATTCCATATCTGGGACACAGTAAGATTCTTAGAGCCTTTGGCATTAAAATGTGCCAGAAAGCAAGAATTGCTCAAGGACTCATGAGGGCAAATCTGAAAGACAAAAGCACTAGTTTCAAAGAAATGTCACTGATGATGTTTGGATAGATTTCAGCATCAAAAAAAAAAAAAAAAAATCTACCCATAGGGTAGGAATGAGCACTAACAAAAATTAACAAAAGCAATTAAAAATAATAGGGAAAAATGTTCAAGTCCATAGTAATGAGTGAGATAAGGAGAGAGCAAGAAAGAACAAAATAATTTGCCTTCACTGTTGGTGGTTATTACAGTAATTTCTTTCTCAGGCCATTGATATTTAGAGGAAAGTATTAAACTTTTACTTTGTCTTTGAGGAATATTTGTTCTTTATTTTAATTTGGTGAAGGATTTTTTTTTTCACAGTAAAATGTCATGTAAGAATAGTTAAATAAATGTTTAAAATTGAAAATTATTATCTAAAAAGTCCAAAGAAATAACAAATCCAATAATAAATAACTATAAAATACAAAACTATTACTGATGTATACACAATTGTATGTGAACATTTGTCATGGAATATGACTTCTTCTGTTGAGAATTATCACCCAGCGAATTATTAGTAATTGCTGAATGAAAAACATATGATTACAAAGAACAGATTAGCTCACAACTAGTTTAACCAAGTGATCAAAGCTAACATCACAAATAGGGGGGCAATCTGTCATTTTATGCTGTCTAGTGTAGTGCAATTTGAGAGACACAGCATGCTAAGGATATATTTTCTTGCCCAAAACATTTAACTTGATGTATCAAAACACTTAGGTCTAACTTTTCATTTACAGAAACTTTTCAACAACTTCAAAAACAAGTTAACTGATATCAACATACAACAATCTGAAACCAAAATTTCATTCTGTTTTAAACGGAAGCGCTATAAAAGACATTTCCATTAAACAATGGGAAATTCAAATATAGACTAGATGCTAAATGACATAGGGCATTAGTTTTCCTAGATACAATAATTTTACTGTAACTGGAAGAATATCTTCATTTCTGTGACATACTTTAATTAGTTCTGTAGAGGTCAGGTGAATCATCATCTTTCCAATTTATTTTGAAGAGGTTTTGAAAATACTAAATGCATTTATGCACGTTTACCCATATATATGTATATATATGGGTAATGTGTATATGTATATTTAGGGGTGTGTGTGTGTGTGTGTGTGTGTATACACACACGTGAGAGTTAACTGTATACATACATACACACACACACACACACACCCCTAAATATTTGGCAGTGCGTTAAAGTGTTAACAATTTTGAGTGTCAATGGTAATGTTGAAATTGTGTAGTATTTTTATCAAATTTTCTGAAAGTTTGGAAATTGTCATAATAAAAAATTGGAGTACTAATATTAAAACTGTATTTTCTTAATGTTTCTATTTGAATATGATGGAACTGTATCATTATGCCAAATTCACAAATTTTATACACTTCATGTTTCAGTTGTAGACCTTTACTCTTTGATTCTAAGTTGTATAAAAGTAAGATCAAAACAGTGTAAATTAGTAAAAAGGTAGAGTGACTTCAATGTTGAATCTTGTATAACATTTGGGAGAAGTCAATGTGATCAAGGAGGCCTGGAATCATTAATAATAACTCAGGGAAAAAAATTAGTCTGCAGCTAATTTTTAGTATATCTATGCCTCTAGCCAAGAATTGTTGAATATCAGGAAGAGGCACTCAAATATCCATATTCCATATAAACCCCTACCTCTTTTCTCTTATTCTCTCTGTTTACGTACAGCTCATTTCATCTTTATGGGTTCATATCTATACACAATTCCCTTCAAATCACCTTCACTCATGCACTCTCTGATCATCTTTCATAGCTTTCACCTTTCCCTGAGTTCTAATTGATTATTT